CGTCAGCAAGTTACGCCATGTCCGTGAGGGCCCATATAGTCACGTCAGCAAGTTACGCCATGTCCGTGAGGGCCCATATAGTCACGTCAGCAAGTTACGCCATGTCCGTGAGGGCCCATTTAGTCACGTCAGCAAGTTACACCATGTCCGTGAGGGCCCATATAGTCACGTCAGCAAGTTACGCCATGTCCGTGAGGGCCCATATAGTCACGTCAGCAAGTTACGCCATGTCCGTGAGGGCCCATATAGTCACGTCAGCAAGTTACGCCATGTCCGTGAGGGCCCATATAGTCACGTCAGCAAGTTACGCCATGTCCGTGAGGGCCCATATAGTCACGTCAGCAAGTTACGCCATGTCCGTGAGGGCCCATATAGTCACGTCAGCAAGTTACGCCATGTCCGTGAGGGCCCATATAGTCACGTCAGCAAGTTACGCCATGTCCGTGAGGGCCCATATAGTCACGTCAGCAAGTTACGCCATGTCCGTGAGGGCCCATATAGTCACGTCAGCAAGTTACGCCATGTCCGTGAGGGCCCATATAGTCACGTCAGCAAGTTACACCATGTCCGTGAGGGCCCATATAGTCACGTCAGCAAGTTACACCATGTCCGTGAGGGCCCATATAGTCACGTCAGCAAGTTACGCCATGTCCGTCAAGGCCCAAATATAGTCTCGTCAGCAAGTTACACCATGTCCGTGAGGGCCCATATAGTCACGTCAGCAAGTTACACCATGTCCGTGAGGGCCCATATAGTCTCGTCAGCAAGTTACACCATGTCCGTGAGGGTCCATATAGTCACGTCAGCAAGTTACGCCATGTCCGTGAGGGCCCATATAGTCACGTCAGCAAGTTACGCCATGTCCGTGAGGGCCCATATAGTCACGTCAGCAAGTTACGCCATGTCCGTGAGGGCCCGTATAGTCACGTCAGCAAGTTACGCCATGTCCGTGAGGGCCCATATAGTCACGTCAGCAAGTTACGCCATGTCCGTGAGGGCCCATATAGTCACGTCAGCAAGTTACGCCATGTCCGTGAGGGCCCATATAGTCACGTCAGCAAGTTACGCCATGTCCGTGAGGGCCCATATAGTCTCGTCAGCAAGTTACACCATGTCCGTGAGGGTCCATATAGTCACGTCAGCAAGTTACGCCATGTCCGTGAGGGCCCATATAGTCTCGTCAGCAAGTTACGCCATGTCCGTGAGGGCCCATATAGTCACGTCAGCAAGTTACGCCATGTCCGTGAGGGCCCATATAGTCACGTCAGCAAGTTACACCATGTCCGTGAGGGCCCATATAGTCACGTCAGCAAGTTACACCATGTCCGTGAGGGCCCATATAGTCACGTCAGCAAGTTACGCCATGTCCGTGAGGGCCCATATAATCTCGTCAGCAAGTTACGCCATGTCCGTGAGGGCCCATATAGTCACGTCAGCAAGTTACGCCATGTCCGTGAGGGCCCATATAGTCACGTCAGCAAGTTACACCATGTCCGTGAGGGCCCATATAGTCACGTCAGCAAGTTACACCATGTCCGTGAGGGCCCATATAGTCACGTCAGCAAGTTACGCCATGTCCGTGAGGGCCCATATAGTCACGTCAGCAAGTTACGCCGTGAGGGCCCATATAGTCTCGTCAGCAAGTTACGCCATGTCCGTGAGGGCCCATATAGTCACGTCAGCAAGTTACGCCATGTCCGTGAGGGCCCGTACAGTCATTTAGCCGGTTACGCCGTGTCCGTGACAGTGTTTCTTCCAGACTTTTTTCTCCGGTGGGGGGGGGGGGGGCACTTGAAATTTCGGTGGGCGGTAAACTTTCTTCGGGAGGGGGGGGCGGACACTGTTAAAAGTATATAATTTCTATATAGATTATATAAATTTCATTTCGTTCGGGGGGGGGGGGGGCGGTAAAAAAATTTCGGGGGGGGGGGGGGGGGGGGGCTTCGCATCCCGAAGAGATGCCTAGAAGAAACTCTGGACCGTGAGGGTCCGTACAGTCATTTAGCCGGTTACGCCGTGTGTTCGTATAGTATCGTCAATGAGGATAGACTTCGCCAACGTAATTAATGCTTGCTTTTTTTTTCTTTGCTGTAGGCAATTTTTTTTTTTTCTAAACCTCGCACTCAGCGAGTAAAAAATAATATCTATTGGGTTTGGTTCGGGGTTCGTTCTACTCCGTATGAGGATAAGTGTTTGGATGTAAATAATGGGGTGAGGTTGGGTTGCACTATGAGCAGAGTTGCGAGGTGGTTTTTTGTGGGCTGAGGCTCAGATTATGGGGTGGGGTGTCATTTATGATATGCGAGAGTGTAGTTTATTTTTAAGTTACCAAAATGTTGTGTCGTGCCTTTTTTTTTTACCTTCGTATACGAAGTACAGAGGAAGTATTGTTATCGTGCAAAAAATCGAAACCGAGATTTTGTTGTCTCGATGTTTTACACCTCCTGAGTCGGAAAAACTTAGTTTTGCAATTTAGCCCGTACGTCTGTGTATGTGTGTGAACACGATAACTTGAGTACCGTTAGTTTTGCAATTGGGCCCGTGGGTCCGTATGTTTGTCCCTCTGTGTTTGTGTGTGTGTGTGTGTATGCTGGGAACGTGATAACTTGAGTACCGTTACAGCTAGGTTGATGAAATTTCATAGAAAAGTATTATATCAAATTTGTAGTTCTGTTTCAAATTTTCAGCGATTTCCTGTAACCAGAAGTGAACTTTTTCTCTTTTGCTCTTTTTACGTTTACCGGAAGTAGTTCTTTACGCTATATTCGATTTCTCAAAAAAAGCATATGAATTTATAAAGTAGTGATATTCCGCACTATTATACACACATTGTTTGCTGTTCACTTGGCGCGCAATTCTATTTTCTACGAGATTCCATTTTAAAAAGTTTAAGTAATTAAAAAATTGATGAAAAATCAAGTTTATACCCCGAGTCGCCATCCCAAGTAGTTTTATATAAGTATATTCGAGAGAGTTTTGGGTTTTCCCTGTCCCCGAGAAAGTGCATTTTAAATTTTCACACCGTAGAGTAGCACGGGGATGCAGCTCGTTAAAATCTACTGGGATTGTGTTGTAAGCACTATGCTTGTCTGGGTTGAGTGGACTGAAGTATTTTATACAGACTCAAGCTTTGGAGTGGACGAATCAGAGTTCACCTGTTTCTGTGATATCGGCATTTGAAGCGATAGTGTTTTTGGCAGCCTCTACTTTCCCTCGGGTGAGTCGGGTAGCTACCCATCATATCCGGGTGGACTCATGGATGCCTCACGTACTTGAGGCCAGCATACTATCAGGTTAGCCAGCCTGCTTTATTGGAGGACAGGAAAATATGGTTGACATTTTTTTTTTTACAATAGGCTACTTGTAGGGCAAAATGTAAGACGGTATTGTGCCCTGTGCTAAATGTATTTTAATGCCACCATTGGGATCTGACTGGCAACGAAGAATTTAATTTTTTTTTCAGGCATCTATCTACACCCCCCCCCCCCCCGATGTTTTTTTTTTTAAAAGTATAAAATGTATTTAGGAAATATATACTTTAACAAATATTCTTCTCCCTCCCCATCTGGAATTAAAATAAGTTCGCCCCCGGAAATTTCAAGTGGCCCACCGCCGGAAAAAAAATGTCTCAAAGAACTACTGCAAAAATTAATTATTTGTAGTGCTATTTTTTTTTTACTTTTCGATTGGTGCCATCAATCAGTAATTCTATGACAATGTTGAATAAACCAATGTTATATTGATTGCTTTGACTATTTTTACTTTCTCGTATAAAAGAAGTATAGAGAAAGTCTTGTAATCGTGCAAAAAAAAAATCGAGATTTTTGCAAATCTTGACGTTTTACACCTCCCTGAGTCGGAAAAACATAGTTTTGCAATCTTGTACGTATGTCAGTGGGTGTGTGTGTGTGTGTATGTGTGTGTCTGTAAACACAATAACTTGAGTACCGTTACAGCTAGGTTGAAGAAATGTCATATATAAGTATTGTATCAAAATCGTAGATTCTTATCAACTTTTGAGCGATTTCCGATAACCGGAAGTGGAAATTTTTCTACTTTGAATGTTTCAAAAGTCTATAACTTGAGTACTATTTCAAATATATAAATGAAATTTCACATGTAAGTAAAAGATCTAATTTTCTACCTTCTGACAAATTTCGAATAATATATGTTGACCGGAAGTAGTAATTTACGCTATTTCCGATTTCTCAAAAAAAACCGCATGTGAATTTATAAAGTAATAATAATATTCCGGACTATTATGCACATTTTATTGGCGTTCACTTGGTATGCAATAGTTTTTTCTACGAGATTCTATTCTATTTTTAAAAGTTTAAGTATTTAAAATGATTAAAAATCATGCCTATATCCCGAGTTGCCATTCTCTGTTGTTTTATATGAGAATATTCGAGAAAGTTTAGGGGAGATCACTCCCGGTTTATTTTAAAAAGGAATTCAAATCATTAGTGGTTATAGCACAGTTTGATTACAATCACTAGAGGCTATTAAAAAGTAAATTGCAATTATTAGTTTGAAAACTTTGAGACAAATTCCATTACATAAGGTTGATGAGTTCATATCGAGCTATTTTATTTGAATACTTGTTATCGGGCCCTCAATGTTGTCAACGTGTTTTTTTTTCTGCCAATAAGCTAGTGGAGTGGCACGGGCAATTGATTGCGTGTCATTAGGTATTGGTTTACTTCTGACCAAAAAGTGACTCATTAGACTGGCCCAGGTAGACTTCATCAGTTCAATCAATGTTCTGCGCATAGTTAATAAACTAGTTGACACGTGTACCAAAGATATATAGACAAATGGAATGGATTAGTATTATCCTATGGTTATATTTATATTGAATCATAAGTTTACAGTAATAAAGTAAGTATGAAAAGAAAATGCGATAAATTTATCTACTAAAAAATTGTATGCTAAAAAAACACCTGTAAGACATTAGAAAACTATAAAACAGTTAAAACAAGAATTTAGGTAAAAAAAATAAAGACAGGCTTGTAGATAGATCTGTGTTTTAAAATGTTCATTCCATTACATTTACGTGTGAGTTGCAATTTAGAAACTTTTTGTACTTAACAAAATTGATGCTTTCAAACGTGCATTTTATAGGCAATATATGGCTATGTTGTTGTTGTTTTTTTATTTTAAGTTAATTTGATCTCTTCTGCCATCTCGTCCAGTCTACCGCCACATTTCATAATCGGTAGAGCTTTTGTTGGGACGGCTACAACTGTTGACCGTGTATGTGAAACACTGATTTATTGCGCTAAAAATAGATTCTGCTGCCGTAAAAACCACGTGCTCTTCTGTAGAGCGTAAACAAATCATCTTTTCCCAATCAGCCAATACGTATCAAGAACACCTTTCCCCTGAAAAATAAATACTTTGTAGTGACATTTAGCATTTGTGTGGTGTTGTACAAAACAAACGAGGTGTCAGGTATACGTAACCGTCTGGGTCAACTATAGCAACAGGGTATCTTACTTTCTTATTTTAGACCGGACGAATTAAGTCTCATTAATATCACAACACTTACACGTCTTACATTGCAAACGTACGATCTATTAGGCAGCCAGTAGCGATATGTCTTACATTGCAGACATACAATCTATTTGGCAGCCAGTAGCGATATGTTTTACAGTACAAACATACGATTTATTAGGCAGCCAGTAGCGATATGTCTTACATTGCAGACATACAATCTATTAGGCAGCCAGTAGCGATATGTCTTACAGTACAAACACACGATCTATTCCAGAAGGGTTACCTTTATAAAGATCTCACCACGAGATACCACATCAAAGCCTGGATCACGTGAGAGTATGGCACCAGACGAGGCTGAAAGATGGACCCTCAGTGCTGAAAATACATGTTGGACGTTGTTTCTACACTAGATAGGGCAGCAAGTCGTTGATACATCACACAGCCCCAAATGATACATCACACAGCCTTAAATGATACATCACACAGCCCCAAATGATACATCACACAGCCCCAAATGATACATCACACAGCCTTAAATGATACATCACACAGCCTTAAATGATACATCACACAGCCCCAACTCTTCAAGTCGATGATACATCACACAGCCCCAAATGATACATCACACAGCCTTAAATGATACATCACACAGCCCCAAATGATACATCACACAGCCCCAAATGATACATCACACAGCCCCAAATGATACATCACACAGCCTTAAATGATACATCACACAGCCCCAAATGATACATCACACAGCCCCAAATGATACATCACACAGCCTTAAATGATACATCACACAGCCTTAAATGATACATCACACAGCCCCAACTCTTCAAGTCGATGATACATCACACAGCCCCAAATGATACATCACACAGCCTTAAATGATACATCACACAGCCCCAAATGATACATCACACAGCCCCAAATGATACATCACACAGCCTTAAATGATACATCACACAGCCCCAAATGATACATCACACAGCCTTAAATGATACATCACACAGCCCCAAATGATACATCACACAGCCCCAAATATTACATCACACAGCCCCAAATATTACATCACACAGCCTTAAATGATACATCACACAGCCCCAAATGATACATCACACAGCCCCAAATGATACATCACACAGCCCCAAATGATACATCACGCAGACTATTCAACACTCGAATTAATCACTTACTTATGTGGAATTATCATTTTTCTCTATTTATTTTGCTATATTTTGCTATTTTTTGCCTTGGTGTCACCCCCCTAAATGGTTCACCCGGTGCGTTCCGCACCCCTCGCCCCCGCCCCCCTCGCTACACCACTGCCCAAACATAAACGATTGTCCCAAGGGGAATTAACCACTACGAAAATGAGGTTTAAAGTAGACAGGCAATAAATTATAAACAGTAAGAAGATATTTCATCATTTTGCTTGTATGCTCTTCGGTTGGTTATTTGGAATCAGAATTAGAGAGAAGATCATGGCAATTCGAGTATGTTTTGATATGATTAAGTTTTAAACGTTCAATGTTTATACCTTCGCTATAAGACAACATTCTGGACGCCATGTTGACCGTGTCTCCAAATAGACAGTACCTCGGCATCTTAATCCCAATGATTCCAGTTACCACAGTGCCTAGGGAGCACGAAGAATTATGTACACGTAAAAAAGCCTTTCTCTTTCTGTCTGTCTGTCTGTCTGTCTGTCTGTCTGTCTGTCTGTCTGTCTGTCTGTCTGTCTGTCTGTCTGTCTGTCTGTCTGTCTGTCTGTCTGTCTGTCTGTCTGTCTGTCTGTCTGTCTGTCTGTCTGTCTGTCTGTCTGTCTGTCTGTCTGTCTGTCTGTCTGTCTGTCTGTCTGTCTGTCTGTCTGTCTGTCTGTCTGTCTGTCTGTCTGTCTGTCTGTCTGTCTGTCTGTCTGTCTGTCTGTCTGTCTGTCTGTCTGTCTGTCTGTCTGTCTGTCTGTCTGTCTGTCTGTCTGTCTGTCTGTCTGTCTGTCTGTCTGTCTGTCTGTCTGTCTGTCTGTCTGTCTGTCTGTCTGTCTGTCTGTCTGTCTGTCTGTCTGTCTGTCTGTCTGTCTGTCTGTCTGTCTGTCTGTCTGTCTGTCTGTCTGTCTGTCTGTCTGTCTGTCTGTCTGTCTGTCTGTCTGTCTGTCTGTCTGTCTGTCTGTCTGTCTGTCTGTCTGTCTGTCTGTCTAATGTGTGTGTGAGTGTGTGTACGTGTGTGTGTCTGTGTGTATGCGCGTACGAGTTTATAGAATGGGTTAAATGAGCACTTGTCTCAACACTTCTTTAATTAAAAAGTTAATGTGTCTGTTAGTCTAGTCGATTCCCTACGTAATGAACTATTGATTCTGATTTCGATTCAGATGTAAAATGAATTACTGTGGCAGCTTAAAAAACCCAACTAAATTAAGAGAACAAAATTTCTAACAGACTGGTCATTGGCGTGGACATGAACTTGTCATGGGATGTGGTTTAGATATTAATTAGAAGTTGCCAAAAACTAAAACCACCCCATGTAAAACTCACCAGTACACATCCCAAACTTGAGTCTTATGGGTAGTGTAGGCAGGTGGTCTACGGTTAGCTGACTCGTCAATTCTAACAACCCCAATGCCATGTTGGCTATTTCTACAATATGAGCGTTTCCATTTCTTAAAGGGACGCCAGACACCACCAGGTATTGGTCTCCTGCAGACAAAGATGTGGTTGGAGTTGGGTTGGAGAGGGTTGGCACTGGGCCTAAGATAACACAAAGATGTGGTTGTAGTTGGGTTGGAGAGGGTTGGCACTGGGCCTAAGATAACACAAAGATGTGGTTGTAGTTGGGTTGGAGAGGGTTGTCACTGGGCTGAAGATAACACAAAGATGTGGTTGTAGTTGGGTTGGAGAGGGTTGGCACTGGGCCGAAGATAACACAAAGATGTGGTTGTAGTTGGGTTGGAGAGGGTTGTCACTGGGCTGAAGATAACACAAAGATGTGGTTGTAGTTGGGTTGGAGAGGGTTGGCACTGGGCCGATGATAACACAAAGATGTGGTTGTAGTTGGGTTGGAGAGGGTTGGCACTGGGCCGATGATAACACAAAGATGTGGTTGTAGTTGGGTTGGAGAGGGTTGTCACTGGGCTGAAGATAACACAAAGATGTGGTTGTAGTTGGGTTGGAGAGGGTTGGCACTGGGCCGATGATAACACAAAGATGTGGTTGTAGTTGGGTTGGAGAGGGTTGGCACTGGGCCGATGATAACACAAAGATGTGGTTGTAGTTGGGTTGGAGAGGGTTGGCACTGGGCCGATGATAACACAAAGATGTGGTTGTAGTTGGGTTGGAGAGGGTTGGAACTGGGCCGAAGATAACACAAAGATGTGGTTGGAGTTGGGTTGGAGAGGGTTGATACTGGGCATACAAAATAAAATTACCTATCGTAAATACAACTATCTACGTTATGTTTGCCAATACCGATTACTAAATCAACAATTGTTGCCTGATGCACTTGCATAGTTTCTCCCCCTGCATCGAATGAAGCTCTATGTATTTTGCTATTTTTGCCTTGGTGTCACCCCCCCCCCCTAAGTGGTGTCACCTCCCCCCCCCCTCCCCTCGCTACGCCACTGACTGGTAATTTAAATCCTGTGTTTGGAAATAAAAGAATTAATTCTGTCTACTTTTTATGCTGGTGAAGAATCAAAGAAATACGACTCCTATTCACTAGAACTGCAACAGAGGCTTATTAAGCAATTCAACAATACCTGTAGGCTCACTTACATTTAACAATAATCCAACAGTACTATAACTCCCTCTTGCACTACAAGAAAATCTGGCTATGTCATCTGTTGTTTCAATATTTAACTAGTTAAATAGGGCTACATACCAACTGTTTCAATATTTAACTAGTTAAATAGGCCTTCATACCAACTGTTTCAATATTTAACTAGTTAAATAGGCCTACATACCAACTGTTTCAATATTTAACTAGTTAAATAGGCCTACATACCAACTGTTTCAATGTTTAACAAGTTAAATAGGCCTACTACATACCAACTGTTTCAATGTTTAACAAGTTAAATAGGCCTACTACATACCAACTGTTTCAATGTTTAACAAGTTAAATAGGCCTACAAACCAACTGTTTTAACGTTTAACTATTTAACTATTTAAATATGCCTACAAACCAACTGTTTTAACGTTTAACTATTTAACTATTTAAATATGCCTACATACCAACTGTTTTAACATTTAACTATTTAACTATTTAAATATGCCTACATACCAACTGTTTTAACATTTAACTATTTAACTATTTAAATATGCCTACATACCAACTGTTTTAACGTTTAACTATTTAACTATTTAAATATGCCTACATACCAACTGTTTTAACATTTAACTATTTAAATATGCCTACATACCAACTGTTTTAACGTTTACCTATTTAACTATTTAAATATGCCTACATACCAACTGTTTTAACGTTTAACAAGTTAAATACCCACCAACTGTTTCAACTTTTAGCACGTCATATTTGTTGATCTCGTCGTCCATCAAATCAAAGAGACGATTAATAAAATAGATGATATCGACGCCATGGCTGATCCTGCTGAGCTCTTCAAAGTCTGCCAGACCAGAGAAACAGACAGTGGCGGAATCAAAACTTTCTGGGTCAACGTGACCCCCTTTCAAAAGTCTGGGGAAATATCAAGTCAAGAGAAACCTTAGGTCATTGGAAATATCAAGTCAAGAGAAACCTTAGGTCATGGGAAATATCAAGTCAAGAGAAACCTAAGGTCATGGGAAATATCAAGTCAAGAGAAACCTAAAACACCTGGAGACAACATGGTACTGACCTTCCATGCCACCACGACCATATTACCCCCCCCCCCCACACACACAAAGTACGCTGTACCTGTGAGACGCATGAGACTAACTCCCCCCCACCCAACCCCCACCGCCATATTACCCCCCCCCCCACACACACACAAAGTACGCTGTACCTGTGAGACACATGAGACTAACTCCCCCCACCGCCATATTACCCCCCACACACCCACACATAAAGTACGCTGTACCTAGAGGCCACAGAAGGTGGGTACATCTCTTTGACCAATGTCGTGTTCCGTCTCTGCTCGCGACTTAAGTGCTTCAGTCGAACCGTCAGTTTGCTTGAATAATCCTTGACCCTGATATGTATATATATATATATATATATATATATATATATATATATATATATATATATATATATATATATATATATATATATGTTATAGACTTGTTATTGGATCTGAGCTGAGAGAGATACCTCTGTTATACACTTGTCATTGAATTAGAACTAAAACTAAAAGCTACAGATAACTCTGCTATATAGTGACTTTTAGATAGAGCTTAGACCACACTATTCCTTCATTTGCAGAGGTTATAGAAATAGCTGAACTCTATATCATCTGCCCATGAAACGTTGTGTTCGCTTGTTAAAAACTTTCTGTTAATAAATTTTATATAGACAACGAAGTCAAACAATCTTCAAAATGTTTTGAAAGATACGTCTCTAAGTGACTTTAAAGTCACGACCGAGATGATAAAACCAAACCTGTGTGAGCCTGAGGGTCAAGATGATAAAACCAAACCTGTTTGTGAGCCTGAGGGTCAAGATGATAAAACCAAACCTGTTTGTGAGCCTTAGGGTCAAGATGATAAAACCAAACCTGTTTGTGAGCCTTAGGGTCAAGATGATAAAACCAAACCTGTTTGTGAGCCTTAGGGTCAAGATGATAAAACCAAACCTGTTTGTGAGCCTGAGGGTCAAGATGATAAAACCAAACCTGTTTGTGAGCCTGAGGGTCAAGATGATAAAACCAAACCTGTTTGTGAGCCTGAGGGTCAAGATGATAAAACCAAACCTGTTTGTGAGCCTGAGGGTCAAGATGATAAAACCAAACCTGTTTGTGAGCCTGAGGGTCAAGATGATAAAACCAAACCTGTTTGTGAGCCTGAGGGTCAAGATGATAAAACCAAACCTGTTTGTGAGCCTGAGGGTCAAGATGATAAAACCAAACCTGTTTGTGAGCCTGAGGGTCAAGATGATAAAACCAAACCTGTTTGTGAGCCTGGGGGTCAAGATGATAAAACCAAACCTGTTTGTGAGTCTGAGGGTCAAGATGATAAAGAGAGGGTAAAAGAAGAACTCGGCGACCATCATTGAAGCGCTGAACACTGTGGTTTTCTGTTGTGTGGACGAGGAATCTGAAGTGTGGTATTTGATCTCATCACCAACCTCATTCTGTCGAGATACAAAGTTCAGCTAGTGCATTCACGCGTTGGGGTGGGAAGTGGAAGGGGAAGTACGACACCAGAGACAAACTTATATAGAGTTTACTTCTAATTTAATTTTATCGGGGTGGGGGGGGGGGGGGGCTACATCTACTCTAACTGATTTTATGGAAGGGGGTGGGGCTACATCTACTTTAACTAATTTTATCTCTACTTTATCTAATTTTTACAAATATATCTACCCTAGGGCCAGAGGCGTAGCGAGGTCGGGTGTCACCCGGTGCGGCACTTAATTGTGTCACCCCCCAGAGGCGTAGCGACCCTTCCCGGGGACAAACTTTCAAATTTGCACACCCCCCCCCCTCAAACTTTCGATTTGCACCCCCCCCCCCCTCAAGTTTCCGATTTGCGCCCCCCCCCCCAAACTACTTTCGATTTGCACCCCCCCCCCCCTCAAGTTTTTCTCTATATATTTTGCTATTTTGTGCCTAGGTGTCATCCCCCTAAATGGTGTCACCCGGTGCGGTCCGCCCCCCCCCCCCGCCCCCCCCCCTTGCTACGCCTCTGCCTAGGCCTGAACAAAAGGAGGCGGAGACATTTATCTAGACCCGCCAAGGGAGCGGATACTTCGACTGATCCTTGTCGGTATAATACTATTTCACTAACAGTTAAAACACCGTTAATTTAACAACTAAAACATCCAGTCCTGGTAATAGTACATATTTCAAATATTTTTCCAGTCCAGTTGTTTGCTCAAATATCCCGGTCTGCACGCCGTGGAGAAAGTCGATGTACTCGCTCATGTTGCCCACCTACCTGCACGCCGTGGAGAAAGTCTATGTACTCGCTCATGTTGCCCACCTACCTGCACGCCGTGGAGAAAGTCTATGTACTCGCTCATGTTGCCCACCTACCTGCACGCCATGGAGAAAGTCGCTGTACTCGCTCATGTTGCCCACCTACCTGCACGCCGTGGAGAAAGTCTATGTACTCGCTCATGTTGCCCACCTACCTGGAGAAAGTCTATGTACTCGCTCATGTTGCCCACCTACCTGGAGAAAGTCTATGTACTCGCTCATGTTGCCCACCTACCTGCACGCCGTGGAGAAAGTCGATGTACTCGCTCATGTTGCCCACCTACCTGCACGCCGTGGAGAAAGTCGATGTACTCGCTCATGTTGCCCACCTACCTGCACGCCGTGGAGAAAGTCTATGTACTCGCTCATGTTGCCCACCTACCTGGAGAAAGTCTATGTACTCGCTCATGTTGCCCACCTACCTGGAGAAAGTCTATGTACTCGCTCATGTTGCCCACCTACCTGCACGCCGTGGAGAAAGTCTATGTACTCGCTCATGTTGCCCACCTACCTGGAGAAAGTCTATGTACTCGCTCATGTTGCCCACCTACCTGGAGAAAGTCTATGTACTCGCTCATGTTGCCCACCTACCTGCACGCCGTGGAGAAAGTCGATGTACTCGCTCATGTTGCCCACCTACCTGCACGCCGTGGAGAAAGTCGATGTACTCGCTCATGTTGCCCACCTACCTGCACGCCATGGAGAAAGTCTATGTACTCGCTCATGTTGCCCACCTACCTGCACGCCATGGAGAAAGTCTATGTACTCGCTCATGTTGCCCACCTACCTGCACGCCATGGAGAAAGTCTATGTACTCGCTCATGTTGCCCACCTACCTGCACGCCGTGGAGAAAGTCTATGTACTCGCTCATGTTGCCCACCTACCTGCACGCCATGGAGAAAGTCTATGTACTCGCTCATGTTGCCCACCTACCTGCACGCCGTGGAGAAAGTCTATGTACTCGCTCATGTTGCCCACCTACCTGCACGCCGTGGAGAAAGTCGATGTACTCGCTCATGTTGCCCACCTACCTGGAGAAAGTCTATGTACTCGCTCATGTTGCCCACCTACCTGCACGCCGTGGAGAAAGTCGATGTACTCGCTCATGTCTCATGTTGCCCACCTACCTGCACGCCGTGGAGAAAGTCGATGTACTCGCTCATGTTGCCCACCTACCTGCACGCCGTGGAGAAAGTCGATGTACTCGCTCATGTTGCCCACCCAGGCTCTAGCGGCATCCACGCTGCTTTGGTTCCCCCCAGACAGTGCGGACGTGCCGTTGCTGTTGATTAGCTGACGGAACTCGTTAATTGCGTTGGTAATTAGTGAGATCTCATCTTCCTGGACACGGGCGTGGACGAGGTCCGAGAACTCTGCAGCCACCGCCAGAGCCGAGCGGCCAGTGATGACGTAATGCATGTAGCTGCCCAGCCCCTCAAAGCTCCCTGACCCTGCAGGTAGATAAACGTTCTCACAGTGTGACGTCATTCACAGGGTGACTTCCTGCAAACTTTACATGTGTGTGTGTGTGCGTGTGTGTGTGTGAGAGAGAGAGAGAGAGAGAGAGAGACAGAGAGAGTTTAGGTCCCGGCGCAAGGCCATTCAATCTAACGTTTTACCCTACTAGATACTGAATAAGTAATTCAACTAAATTTAGGGGCAACTAACTGCAACAACAAAAAGACATGAAGGTGTAGCTATCTACCCGGTGAGATGGTGATCGCGAATAATGTCAACAACTAATAACAAATCTTAGAGCAATGATATCAAATCTAACAAGCGCTTTCAAAAGCCAATAAGGAAAAAAGAAAACAAAAACCTTGTTTCTTCAGTTATTAGTAAAAGTCTTGGTGGCTAAAGTATATTTACAAGACTCCTTGGTTGACCCACTCATGGTAAGGTGGTCATAATTTATTTGATTTGTTTAGCTTAAATGTAAAGAAAACAATTATTACATTTTCATGACCTTTTCAAACCTGACGGTTCACAGTGAATTTTGAGGCCAACACTATGCCCAGACGCCTTTACTACCCCTAACGTAAGTCAGGTACCTATCTGAGCTGGGTGGACTCAAGAACGTTCTACTGACATGAACCGGGTATTTGAAAAAAATATTTACACTTGGTATTTTACTCGGTATATGCATGTCTTTCACAAGATTATAATATTTCACATTTGGTATAGGCTTGTCTTTCCCTATGTAGATTATAGTATTTAACATATTTGGTATAGGCATGTCTTTCACTATGTAGAGCATACTATTTAACATATTTTGATTCAATAAGTTCACACCATTCAAATTAATGAAATCTAATGATAAGCTTGGGTATTGAGGCGAAGTTTAAAATGTAACGGCAACATAAGGTAAGCTATTTGACTAACTTGTGATGTTATTATAGTATCACGCAGCTATTTGACTAACTTGTGATGTTATTATAGTATCACGCAGCTATTTGACTAACTTGTGATGTTATTATAGTATCACGCAGCTATTTGACTAACTTGTGATGTTATTATAGTATCACGCAGCTATTTGACTGACTTGTGATGTTATTATAGTATCACGCAGCTATTTGACTGACTTGTGATGTTATTATAGTACCACGCAGCTATTTGACTGTCTTGTGATGTTATTATAGTACCACGCAGCTATTTGACTGACCTTTTGTAAAGAATATGGCACCAGCAGCTCTTTCTAGCCCTGCGTTTTCTGTAGCAAAAGTGAGGGACTGGAAGGCTACCACGTCGTCCCAGAAAGTGCCCAGTGTGACCGAGTTGGTGAGTTGAATGAGCCACTGGATGAGCAGGCTTGTCTGGTTGCTGCAAGTATGGACTTCATGACTTCATGCTTGCAGACAGCACAAACATGTGTTCATTGGTATAGATCGAGGTCCTGCACACACACACACACAGACACAGACACACACATACACACACAGACACACACATATTCACACACACAAACACACACACATTTACATACACACGCCGGATCTTTCATAGAGCATGTCCCAGGTGGCAGCTAACCAGGTATGATGTGTATAGGGGAATGCCCGCCAGATATGATGTGTATAGGGCAGGGGTTCCCAACCTTTTTTCACTCTAGAGCACATTCTAAAATATCGGTAGCGTGGCGAGCACCACCTATTTTAAATCGACAAACTCCTTCCATAACTTGTCATTTTCCCATAATTTATTTTCTTATTTTCTTATAGTCATAATGTATTAATAAATAATAAATAAAAATGTTTCAAAATAATAAAATTATTTGGCATTTTTTCAATTTGCATACACATAGAGACATGTATTTATAAAACGTAAAGAAAGAAAACAAAACACATAAATACAAAGAAAACTTTTAATTAAAAAATATAATAAATTCAATGTGATCTTTGTCATTGCATTTCATCAGTAGCGTAGCGAGGGGGGGGGGGGGGGGACATATGTCCCCGGGCGCCGACCTTAGGGGGGGCGCCAAATTGAAAGTTTGAGGGGGGGGGTGCAAATGAAAAGTTCGAGGGGGGGGGTGCAAATCGAAAGTTTGAGGGGGGGGTGCAAATGAAAAGTTCGAGGGGGGGGGGGTGCAAATCGAAAATTTGCTCCCAAGGGGGCGCCAAATTGAAAGTATGTCCCGGGAAGGGTCGCTACGCCTCTGCATTTCATTCACTAGAGCTTCATAATTAGGAGCGTAAGACGATAATCCTGTTAGCAGACAATCATAAAGGTTCTCATCGGTGAGTCGAGGTCTATATCTTGATTTTATTAAGTTCATGTTTGAAAACAATAATTCGCATAAATATGTCGAACCGAAAAATGATTAAATTTTATATGCCGCTTTTTTCAACAATGGGAACTTTTCTCTATCCATTGTCTGGCTCGCCGCTAGACAAATTGGGACAAGTATCGAACATATTTAATAAACCTAGGCAGTCAAAAAACAAATTAAAACTGTAACAAATGAATAAAAATAAATAATATTTTAAAATAATGTTTATGAAAAAAATTCGGTCTCTGTCGAATAGTGAGAGGCGGGCACATACGAATCGTTCAGCGGGCGCCGTGGCGCCCGCGGGCACAGGGTTGGGAACCCCTGGTATAGGGGAATGCCCGCCAGATATGATGTGTATAGGGGAATGTCCGCCAAATATGATGTGTATAGGGGAATGCCCGCCAAATATGATGTGTATAGGGGAATGTCCGCCAAATATGATGTGTATAGGGGAATGCCCGCCAAATATGATGTGTATAGGGGGGGGGGGGTGAAATCCCCGGGGTGGACCGTGATTGGAAGCTGCTACTATCCCGAGAAGGGGATCACAGATGGCTGGACTCTGGGCTCACAACAGACATGACTGGTAACCGAGGAGCTGTTACTTAATTGCCGGAGTGGAAGAAAGCGATTTACCTCGCACTCAAGGGGTAGGTTTTATGCTGTCCAGCCAAGCACAAAAAGCAATAACGACATAGAAGCCCACAGAACAACAACGGTATAGAAGCCCACAGAACAACAACATAGAAGCCCACAGAACAACAACATAGAAGCCCACAGAACAACAACATAGAAGCCCACAGAACAACAACATAGAAGCCCACAGAACAACAACGGCATAGAAGCCCACAGAACAACAACGGTATAGAAGCCCACAGAACAACAACTTATAGAAGCCCACAGAACAACAACATAGAAGCCCACAGAACAACAACATAGAAGCCCACAGAACAACAACGGTATAGAAGCCCACAGAACAACAACATAGAAGCCCACAGAACAACAACATAAAAGCCCACAGAACAACGACGGTATAGTAGCCCACAGAACAACAACGGTATAGAAGCCCACAGAACAACAACGGTATAGAAGCCCACAGAACAACAACATAAAAGCCCACAGAACAACAACTTATAGAAGCCCACAGAACAACAACAGTGTTGCCGTGGTGTGTTGCCGTTGTATGTTGCCGTTGTGTGTTGCCGTTGTATGTTGTCGTTGTGTGTTGTCGTTATGTTGCCGTTGTGTGTTGTCGTTATGTTGCCGTTGTATGTTGCCGTTGTGTGTTGTCGTTATGTTGCCGTTGTGTGTTTCCGTTGTGTGTTGCCGTTGTGTGTTGTCGTTGTGTGTTGTCGTTATGTTGCCGTTGTGTGTTGTCGTTATGTTGCCGTTGTATGTTGCCATTGTATGTTGTTGTTGTGTGCTGTTGTTGTGTGTTGCCGTTGTGTGTTGCCGTTGTGTGTTGCCATTGTGTGTTGCCGCTGTGTGTTGCCGTTGTGTGTTGCCGTTGTGTGTTGCCATTGTATGTTGCCGTTGTATGTTGCCGTTGTGTGTTGTCGTTATATGTTGCCGTTGTATGTTGCCGTTGTATGTTGCCGTTGTATGTTGCCGTTGTGTGTTGCCGTTGTATGTTGCCGTTGTATGTTGCCGTTGTATGTTGCCGTTGTGTGTTGCCGTTGTATATTGTATTGATTTAATGCTGCGGTAGGATGCCCGTTCTGTATGCCAGCAAGTCCAATACTAGGCTAGAGTCTGACGCTCCAATACTAGGCTAGAGTCTGACGCTCCAATACTAGGCTACAGTCTGACGCTCCAATACTAGGCTAGAGTCTGACGCTCCAATACTAGGCTAGAGTCTGACGCTCCAATACTAGGCTAGAGTCTGACGCTCCAATACTAGGCTAGAGTCTGACGCTCCAATACTAGGCTAGAGTCTGACGCTCCAATACTAGGCTAGAGTCTGACGCTCCAATACTAGGCTAGAGTCTGACGCTCCAATACTAGGCTAGAGTCTGACGCTCCAATACTAGGCTAGAGTCTGACGCTCCAATACTAGGCTAGAGTCTGACGCTCCAATACTAGGCTAGAGTCTGACGCTCCAATACTAGGCTAGAGTCTGACGCTCCAATACTAGGCTAGAGTCTGACGCTCCAATACTAGGCTAGAGTCTGACGCTCCAATACTAGGCTAGAGTCTGACGCTCCAATACTAGGCTAGAGTCTGACGCTCCAATACTAGGCTAGAGTCTGACGCTCCAATACTAGGCTAGAGTCTGACGCTCCAATACTAGGCTAGAGTCTGACGCTCCAATACTAGGCTAGAGTCTGACGCTCCAATACTAGGCTAGAGTCTGACGCTCCAATACTAGGCTAGAGTCTGACGCTCCAATACTAGGCTAGAGTCTGACGCTCCAATACTAGGCTAGAGTCTGACGCTCCAATACTAGGCTAGAGTCTGACGCTCCAATACTAGGCTAGAGTCTGACGCTCCAATACTAGGCTAGAGTCTGACGCTCCAATACTAGGCTACAGTCTGACGCTCCAATACTAGGCTAGAGTCTGACGCTCCAATACTAGGCTAGAGTCTGACGCTCCAATACTAGGCTAGAGTCTGACGCTCCAATACTAGGCTAGAGTCTGACGCTCCAATACTAGGCTAGAGTCTGACGCTCCAATACTAGGCTAGAGTCTGACGCTCCAATACTAGGCTAGAGTCTGACGCTCCAATACTAGGCTAGAGTCTGACGCTCCAATACTAGGCTAGAGTCTGACGCTCCAATACTAGGCTAGAGTCTGACGCTCCAATACTAGGCTAGAGTCTGACGCTCCAATACTAGGCTAGAGTCTGACGCTCCAATACTAGGCTAGAGTCTGACGCTCCAATACTAGGCTAGAGTCTGACGCTCCAATACTAGGCTAGAGTCTGACGCTCCAATACTAGGCTAGAGTCTGACGCTCCAATACTAGGCTAGAGTCTGACGCTCCAATACTAGGCTAGAGTCTGACGCTCCAATACTAGGCTAGAGTCTGACGCTCCAATACTAGGCTAGAGTCTGACGCTCCAATACTAGGCTAGAGTCTGACGCTCCAATACTAGGCTAGAGTCTGACGCTCCAATACTAGGCTAGAGTCTGACGCTCCAATACTAGGCTAGAGTCTGACGCTCCAATACTAGGCTAGAGTCTGACGCTCCAATACTAGGCTAGAGTCTGACGCTCCAATACTAGGCTAGAGTCTGACGCTCCAATACTAGGCTAGAGTCTGACGCTCCAATACTAGGCTAGAGTCTGACGCTCCAATACTAGGCTAGAGTCTGACGCTCCAATACTAGGCTAGAGTCTGACGCTCCAATACTAGGCTAGAGTCTGACGCTCCAATACTAGGCTAGAGTCTGACGCTCCAATACTAGGCTAGAGTCTGACGCTCCAATACTAGGCTAGAGTCTGACGCTCCAATACTAGGCTAGAGTCTGACGCTCCAATACTAGGCTAGAGTCTGACGCATCTCATTAACCACCCAGATTAAAATTCTCCAGCAGCACACACATACTACCTGCTGTTGTGAGATGAAGTATGTTATTTGGTTGTATATGTAATTTCAACAGCGGATGCTATAGCAAGACTTAATTGTGCGTCCGGTCGCTCAGCCATGATTGAGTGTTTTTTTTTTTACAAAACTATTTCTTGGTTACGTTGTTAGTTTTGTTTTAAACTGTACATTGTATATCATCTTCTGAAGGAAATGTGCCTGGCTCATGATTGTTAAAAGAATGTTAATGTTGTGAATGTTCGCGAAGAATTGAATAAACTGCAATATCGAGGGAGTGGTAGGTTGAAGGGGGGGGGTCCGGATTTTTGTGACGATGCGTGACAGTAGGATTAAGGAGAGGGGGAGGTAAAAATCGTTTAAAAGCGTGACGTCATTTATGGAGGATGACATCAGCCAGGAGGAGTGAAACAACACTTGTAAGAAACAAAGGGGGCGGCGTGGTCGAGAGGGAGAGCGTATGACTGCCAACTCCTAAAACCCCGAGGTCGGACCTCAGGGTAGATGAGGCTCGTTAGCTGGGGACAGCAAACCATTTAGGAGAGAAAACGAATGATGTGTTGGTAAATGCTGTTTTTGGCTGGACAATAGCTATGGAAGCAGTTGGGAGTCAACATGCCATAAGGCACATGATAGATTCTTTTGACACGTAAATCTTTCTTATATTACAATCAAGGACGAATAAGAAAGGTAAATAAACAACCAAGAAAATAAGAAATAAAACATAATCTTTTTTGTAAAACATCAATTATAAGAAACAACACATTTATATGAAGTGAAACATCTATTATAAGAAACACACATATTTAGTGAAACAGAAATTAGACAAAACAACACATTTCAGAATTTGACCCAATAGCGGCCAAAGTGGAAATAATTCCAACTATTTACCTGTAATGTTCGACTACTGTAAATTCATCCACAACTTTGGTATCGATGTTGTAACGGAATTTACTCAATTCAAATTTAAATGTTTCTTTCTCAGGCACCACGCCATTCCACAATGGAACTTCGGTGGGCCACAAATCTAGCGCCTGCAGGCGATCGTCTACGTGTATTCTCGTCTGCAACATCTCATCCCGAGTGATGACGTCACCATTCGAGGATACAAACAGCGCCGATAAACCCCTCTCTAGTTGCAGCTGGTGCAGAAGGTCCTTGATTAACAGAGCTGACGCTATGCGGCTGTCCACGATGCTGTTCCTGTGCAGCAGCTGGACAGCCTGACAGACATCCACGATGTTCTGTGCCAGCAGGACGCAGGCAGGGATGAAGCCTGCAGACAGAATGAGCACCAGGAGGAAGTAGCGGCCCAGCGCCGTGCGGAAGTTGAGCGTCCGGTCCAGGAAACTTTGCTTCTTCTCACTCTCCCCGAACAGGGAGGAGGCGAGGGTTGTAGATGACCAGTGGGGAGATTTCACGTAGGATGAAAAGGAGGTAGAGTTCATGTTATCTTTTTTTTCTGACCGAAACTATTTCACGTAGGATGAAAAGGAGGTAGAGTTCATTGTATCTTTTTTTTCTGACCGAAACTATTTCACAAGGAAAGAAAAAGGGGTAGGATTCATTTTCATCGTTGTTTTTTTTTTCACAGCTTAACTATTTCAAGGAGGAAATTTGGAAGTTCATTCTACAATTTAAAAAAATTTCAATCCTACTTTAAGAAATTTGTGAATGTTTCAGCATGTGCAGCTAGCAGTATTGGGTCGTGAGTTCTATTCCACATGACAAGCATACAGCGACTTAAAGATGCCATTTATAATCAGACTACATGCTGGCCGTGTCTTCTAGTCAAATATAATCATACACAGTCGTTCAATATCAGGCAATCTTGGACAGTTTATTCCTAAAAAGGCGGACAAATGTATGTCCGGGGGGGGTGGGTGGGGAGTCTTCAGGAGCTTATCTAGCGCCCTCTTTCCCTCCGCGAAAGATGCCTGAAAGAAACTGTTCGATATTCAGAGCAATTTACTTTACACCGTTGTACGTCATTCACACTAACACACTACACACACCACATAGTATAACAAATACAATGTGCATTTTAAAATTAGATTATTTTAACGATACTAGAGAAAATATTTAAATTTTACACAACATTTGAGTATTCTAACGTTACTAGATAAAATATCTAAATTTTAATCAATATTTCACGTTACTAGAGAAAATATCTAAATTGTACTCAACATTAGAGTATTCCGATGATACTAGAAAAAATATCTAAATTGTTCCAAATTTTTGAGTTGTACGACACCACAAGAGAAAACAGAGCAATCACTTCCTAAACGACTGGCCTGATTCAAGTGACCGCTAAATCGAAGTTTTACTTGCATTAGATTCCCATGGAAGTGGCGGTCGCTGGGTGAACGCGTTGAGACGGCGAGTAAGTTGGCGTTGGCTTCACCTGCTAGGGAGACGTTATTGATTACATTTGGTCAGAGAGACCGACAGTTTAGTGCATGACCGATAATCAATAGCCGGTAAATGGGGGAATATTAGCTATATAAGCCCCACACCAGCATAACAGTGATGAGAATTGATGTAGACCCGATATTACACTGAAACAAGCGTATGGCACGATAGGTAGTTTTTATTTGTCACTTTTCTAAGGTTTGATACGAATGGATATTATAGAGAACAAAGTACCTTCATGAACCATTTACAAGTATATGTGGATGGGGCCATGACGTCAGTTGTGTATGATTATGTTGTCCGTGTGACCAATGTCTATGTGGATGGGGCCATGACGTCAGATGTGTATGATTATGTTGACCGTGTGGCCAATGTCTATGTGGATGAACCATGACGTCAGTTGTGTATGATTATGTTGACCGTGTGGCCAATGTCTATGTGGATGGGGCCATGACGTCAGTTGTGTATGATTATGTTGACCGTGTGACCAATGTCTATGTGGATGGGGCCATGACGTCAGTTGTGTATGATTATGTTGTCCGTGTGACCAATGTCTATGTGGATGGGGCCATGACGTCAGTTGTGTATGATTATGTTGACCGTGTGACAAATGTCTATGTAAATGGGGCCATGACGTCAGTTGTGTATGATTATGTTGTCCGTGTGACCAATGTCTATGTGGATGGGGCCATGACGTCAGATGTGTATGATTATGTTGACCGTGTGGCCAATGTCTATGTGGATGAACCATGACGTCAGTTGTGTATGATTATGTTGTTCGTGTGACCAATGTCTATGTGGATGGGGCCATGACGTCAGTTGTGTATGATTATGTTGTCCGTGTGACCAATGTCTATGTGGATGGGGCCATGACGTCAGTTGTGTATGATTATGTTGACCGTGTGACAAATGTCTATGTGGATGGGGCCATGACGTCAGTTGTGTATGATTATGTTGTCCGTGTGACCAATGTCTATGTGGATGGGGCCATGACGTCAGTTGTGTATGATTATGTTGACCGTGTGGCCAATGTCTATGTGGATGGGGGCCATGACGTCAGTTGTGTATGATTATGTTGTCCGTGTGACCAATGTCTATGTGGATGGGGCCATGACGTCAGTTGTGTATGATTATGTTGTCCGTGTGACCAATGTCTATGTGGATGGGGCCATGACGTCAGTTGTGTATGATTATGTTGTCCGTGTGACCAATGTCTATGTGGATGGGGCCATGACGTCAGTTGTGTATGATTATATTGTCCGTGTGACCAATGTCTATGTGGATGGGGCCATGACGTCAGTTGTGTATGATTATGTTGTCCGTGTGACCAATGTCTATGTGGATGGGGCCATGACGTCAGTTGTGTATGATTATGTTGTCCGTGTGACCAATGTCTATGTGGATGGGGCCATGACGTCAGTTGTGTATGATTATGTTGTCCGTGTGACCAATGTCTATGTGGATGGGGCCATGACGTCAGTTGTGTATGATTATGTTGTCCGTGTGACCAATGTCTATGTGGATGGGGCCATGACGTCAGTTGTGTATGATTATGTTGACCGTGTGACAAATGTCTATGTGGATGGGGCCATGACGTCAGTTGTGTATGATTATGTTGACCGCGTGGCCAATGTCTATGTGGATGGGGGCCATGACGTCAGTTGTGTATGATTATGTTGTCCGTGTGACCAATGTCTATGTGGATGGGGCCATGACGTCAGTTGTGTATGATTATGTTGTCCGTGTGACCAATGTCTATGTGGATGGGGCCATGACGTCAGTTGTGTATGATTATGTTGTCCGTGTGACCAATGTCTATGTGGATGGGGCCATGACGTCAGTTGTGTATGATTATGTTGTCCGTGTGACCAATGTCTATGTGGATGGGGCCATGACGTCAGTTGTGTATGATTATGTTGACCGTGTGACAAATGTCTATGTGGATGGGGCCATGACGTCAGTTGTGTATGATTATGTTGTCCGTGTGACCAATGTCTATGTGGATGGGGCCATGACGTCAGTTGTGTATGATTATGTTGCCCGTGTGACAAATGTCTATGTGGATGGGGCCATGACGTCAGTTGTGTATGATTATGTTGTCCGTGTGACCAATGTCTATGTGGATGGGGCCATGACGTCAGTTGTGTATGATTATGTTGTCCGTGTGACCAATGTCTATGTGGATGGGGCCATGACGTCAGTTGTGTATGATTATGTTGACCGTGTGGCCAATGTCTATGTGGATGGGGGCCATGACGTCAGTTGTGTATGATTATGTTGTCCGTGTGACCAATGTCTATGTGGATGGGGCCATGACGTCAGTTGTGTATGATTATGTTGTCCGTGTGACCAATGTCTATGTGGATGGGGCCATGACGTCAGTTGTGTATGATTATGTTGTCCGTGTGACAAATGTCTATGTGGATGGGGCCATGACGTCAGTTGTGTATGATTATGTTGTCCGTGTGACCAATGTCTATGTGGATGGGGCCATGACGTCAGTTGTGTATGATTATGTTGACCGTGTGACAAATGTCTATGTGGATGAACCATGACGTCAGTTGTGTATGATTATGTTGTCCGTGTGACCAATGTTTATGTGGATGTGGCCATGACGTCAGTTGTGTATGATTATGTTGACCGTGTGACCAGAGACCAATGTCTATGTGGATGGGGCCATGACGTCAGTTGTGTATGATTATGTTGTCCGTGTGACCAATGTCTATGTGGATGGGGCCATGACGTCAGTTGTGTATGATTATGTTGTCCGTGTGACCAATGTCTATGTGGATGGGGCCATGACGTCAGTTGTGTATGATTATGTTGTCCGTGTGACCAATGTCTATGTGGATGGGGCCATGACGTCAGTTGTGTATGAGTATGTTGTCCGTGTGACCAATGTCTATGTGGATGGGGCCATGACGTCAGTTGTGTATGATTATGTTGTCCGTGTGACCAATGTCTATGTGGATGGGGCCATGACGTCAGTTGTGTATGATTATGTTGTCCGTGTGACCAATGTCTATGCGGATGGGGCCATGACGTCAGTTGTGTATGATTATGTTGACCGTGTGGCCAATGTCTATGTGGATGGGGGCCATGACGCCAGTTGTGTATGATTATGTTGTCCGTGTGACCAATGTCTGTGTGGATGGGGCCATGACGTCAGTTGTGTATGATTATGTTGTCCGTGTGACCAATGTCTATGTGGATGGGGCCATGACGTCAGTTGTGTATGATTATGTTGTCCGTGTGACCAATGTCTATGTGGATGGGGCCATGACGTCAGTTGTGTATGATTATGTTGACCGTGTGACAAATGTCTATGTGGATGGGGCCATGACGTCAGTTGTGTATGATTATGTTGTCCGTGTGACCAATGTCTATGTGGATGGGGCCATGACGTCAGTTGTGTATGATTATGTTGTCCGTGTGACAAATGTCTATGTGGATGGGGCCATGACGTCAGTTGTGTATGATTATGTTGTCCGTGTGACCAATGTTTATGTGGATGTGGCCATGACGTCAGTTGTGTATGATTATGTTGACCGTGTGACCAATGTCTATGTGGATGGGGCCATGACGTCAGTTGTGTATGATTATGTTGTCCGTGTGACCAATGTCTATGTGGATGGGGCCATGACGTCAGTTGTGTATGATTATGTTGACCGTGTGACAAATGTCTATGTGGATGGGGCCATGACGTCAGTTGTGTATGATTATGTTGTCCGTGTGACCAATGTCTATGTGGATGGGGCCATGACGTCAGTTGTGTATGATTATGTTGTCCGTGTGACAAATGTCTATGTGGATGGGGCCATGACGTCAGTTGTGTATGATTATGTTGTCCGTGTGACCAATGTTTATGTGGATGTGGCCATGACGTCAGTTGTGTATGATTATGTTGACCGTGTGACCAATGTCTATGTGGATGGGGCCATGACGTCAGTTGTGTATGATTATGTTGACCGTGTGACAAATGTCTATGTGGATGGGGCCATGACGTTAGTTGTGTATGATTATGTTGTCCGTGTGACCAATGTTTATGTTGATGTGGCCATGACGTCAGTTGTGTATGATTATGTTGACCGTGTGACCAGAGACCAATGTCTATGTGGATGGGGCCATGACGTCAGTTGTGTATGATTATGTTGTCCGTGTGACCAATGTCTATGTGGATGGGGCCATGACGTCAGTTGTGTATGATTATGTTGTCCGTGTGACCAATGTCTATGTGGATGGGGCCATGACGACAGTTGTGTATGATTATGTTGACCGTGTGACAAATGTCTATGTGGATGAACCATGACGTCAGTTGTGTATGATTATGTTGTCCGTGTGACCAATGTTTATGTGGATGTGGCCATGACGTCAGTTGTGTATGATTATGTTGACCGTGTGACCAGAGACCAATGTCTATGTGGATGGGGCCATGACGTCAGTTGTGTATGATTATGTTGTCCGTGTGACCAATGTCTATGTGGATGGGGCCATGACGTCAGTTGTGTATGATTATGTTGTCCGTGTGACCAATGTCTATGTGGATGGGGCCATGACGTCAGTTGTGTATGATTATGTTGTCCGTGTGACCAATGTCTATGTGGATGGGGCCATGACGTCAGTTGTGTATGATTATGTTGTCCGTGTGACCAATGTCTATGTGGATGGGGCCATGACGTCAGTTGTGTATGATTATGTTGTCCGTGTGACCAATGTCTATGTGGATGGGGCCATGACGTCAGTTGTGTATGATTATGTTGTTCGTGTGATCAATGTCTATGTGGATGGGGCCATGACGTCAGTTGTGTATGATTATGTTGTCCGTGTGACCAATGTCTATGTGGATGGGGCCATGACGTCAGTTGTGTATGATTATGTTGACCATGTGGCCAATGTCTATGTGGATGGGGGCCATGACGTCAGTTGTGTATGATTATGTTGTCCGTGTGACCAATGTCTATGTGGATGGGGCCATGACGTCAGTTGTGTATGATTATATTGTCCGTGTGACCAATGTCTATGTGGATGGGGCCATGACGTCAGTTGTGTATGATTATGTTGTCCGTGTGACCAATGTCTATGTGGATGGGGCCATGACGTCAGTTGTGTATGTTTATGTTGTCCGTGTGACCAATGTCTATGTGGATGGGGCCATGACGTCAGTTGTGTATGATTATGTTGTCCGTGTGACCAATGTCTATGTGGATGGGGCCATGACGTCAGTTGTGTATGATTATGTTGTCCGTGTGACCAATGTCTATGTGGATTGGGCCATGACGTCAGTTGTGTATGATTATGTTGACCGTGTGGCCAGAGACAAATGCCTATGTCCAGGTTGCAGGCAACTTGAGCAGTACAGCAAAGTCAGTAAAAAAATTAATTCGATAGCCACATATGGCTAGCAACACTAGCAAGAATCATGTCCTACCCTCATCTTTCATTGGAGTGTAGAGATAGTTGGCAAGAATCATGTCTTACCCACATCGTTCATTGGAGTGTAGTGATGGCTAGCAAGAATAATGTCCTACCAGTAGCGTACGCAGGGGGGAGCAGGGGGAGCGGCCGCTCCCCCTCTGGCCATTTTCAGCAAAGTGGCGCCTTTTTGGAAGCTTTTTAAACTCAAAGTTTTAAACAATGATATTTGTTAAAAAAATATTTTTGGTCGGCACATCTATTATAAATCTCAAGATTTCTTTTCATGCAGCAATTAAGCAATTAATTAGTAGTGTCTACGTTTGTAAACGTAGACACGTATTAACAGCTGCATCAGTTTGCCATTCTAGAAATAACCATTACGATGCATTGCAGTGTTTAAAAACCTCTACGGGTAGTAACACTTGGCAATAGGGTAGTTAAGATTAAGGCAACTGTATAATGTATTTGCTTACGAATAATTGAAATAGAAAATGTTATACATAAAACTTCACACATAATTACTTTATATATACAGTTTGAATCGTGTGAATAATTTTAAAAAATTACAATACAGAAACAAATACAACTGATGTGGCACCTCTATTTAAATTTACTTATGAGCAAACTGCGTAGTGGTGTGGAAATTTTGACAAGGTCAACAACGTCATCACGATGAAGTAGTAGTATTCTTACAGTTTGGGCGATAGTGATTACGATTACAAATTATATGAAATAGTTACAACCCCCCTCCCCATGGACCCCTCTGTAAAAAAAATTGTGATAATACCACTGCTACTTATTTAAATATATTTCTGTAATAAATATTTTTGTAATATATATTTGTGTAATCTATATCTATGTTTAGAACAGTCATCTAAAAACTGACGCTATGTTCACTCTGAGTTGGTTATCCCCCCCCCCCCACACACCTCACCACCACAATTGTGTAGAGTGACATTAATGTCACACCTAGGTATACACTGGGTTGGATAATTGACCCAAGGTGACGGGACAGTGGTGAATGAAGTTAAATCCCCCCCCCCCATCCCACCCCGAACTGATCTGTTAAGTACATGTAGAAAAACGCGTAATGATGTACATTTATAATTAAATGTGTAGATGTATACATATTTATATTAAGAGAGTGGTTATTTCCCCTATCTCACTTGTCATAAATAATTTCCCAGGAATTATTATGGAAGATTTTTTTTTACAAGAATTACAAAACAGATTGTGTTACGTTCATTGTTTTTGGTTGTAGTGTGTGTATATTTTTTTTTTGTTTAGATTGATACAATTTTTGTTTTGTCGGCCTACATTGTGTGTTTTTTCTTATTTCTTCAGAGTGCTACTTTCAATTTATTTTACATCATAGCGAAGTAATGACATACAGTTATATATATATATATATATATATATATATATATATAATACACGTATATAGAACGTGTTAAAAGTTCGGCGCCTTTTTTTTTGCTTTTTGCTCCCTCTACGACGAAAACCTGGATACGCCTCTGTGTCCTACCCTCATCGTTCATTGGAGTGTAGTGATGGCTAGCAAGAATCATGTCCTACCTGTCAATTACAAATTGCCCCTCAACCTAACATGAAATCCTAGCCATAATGTAAGGATAGTTCTAAAAAGACAGAAGCTTACTCTACTTAGCTGTGCCACCTGTTTGGCAATTAATAGATTGCCTATGGATAGTACGTAATGTGATCTTTGTTCTCTTTCGACCAGTTTCAAGCATAAGATATAGGCTCGCAGGAAGTCTTTTTACTCTATTTGCGGGAAACGCCTTTTCTCGAGTGTTCGGAATGTCCTAAATCGATGCTGTACTGTGTAATTTTTAGCGCAATTTCCATTCTGGAGAATTGCGTTTATTAACTCGTCTTTTCTGGGAATGGATGAATGGATGGATGGATGTGTGTCCGCAGCTTTAAGTCGTATCTCCTCCTCAACGAAGCAATATCGAGGACTAGTTCCAAAAGCAAATATGTTAAGCAAGTTATCAGGATGAACATAGGCCAAAAAAATTCCGGGTTTCTTTCATGGATTTCCCGGAAAAGCCAAAAAACCTCGAACAAATACAGTTTTTGGCCTATACCTCGGCAACCAGACCACTTAGCGACTTGAAACATGTACCAATCGATTCCTGCCATAATTTAGAACAATATTGCCGAAGAAAGTTTTCAAAAATATCCTTTCGTTCGGTCACAAAAAAATTTTTGAATTAATTAAAATTTGGACTGAATTAGTAGGCATTTTATCCAACCACACCACACGCGTCATCATGTTCAATGGCTGCGACATCACGTTCGGTCGTCGGTAGCTAGGCGCGCAATGGTTTTTAGTCATGTTACTCTATTGTAAATAAAACATGTAAAATACTGAAAAAAAATTAATAAAAAACGTTTTAATAATTAACCAATGGTTTTACTAACCCTGCTCTTGATTTACGCTACGACAGAGCTATTTTTAGATAACATAAGGAAATTGCGCTAAAATTGTCACTAGACTTTTTAATTACCTTGTTTAATGTCGATGTTAACAACTTGTTGGCTAGACAATCATCTGTTGACTTTTTCTTCCATGTGTATAAAATGAACTATTTATATTATGATAAACCACAAAGAAATAAATGAAGATGAATGACTGCACTAAATAACAATAACTGAATAACACAACCTTCAGTTGATGTGTTTCAACAAGATCAGGTTGTAAATATGCCCAGCCCATGGTTGCAGCAGGTTTTTATACAACTCTATATTTGATTTGTTTACTTTGTGCTTAAACATACTGGGTTTGACAGACAGATGCAAGTAAGAAGAATAACTTCAAAAATAAATACATGTTTAATTGTATTCTTTTAAAGTAATTATAAAACCTACAGTATATAGAGTAAATCAAAACATTTATAAAATATTGTAGGAGTGCCAAAAATGATTGAAAGAAGACAACATTAGCCAAATGTGTATTCTATAACTCACTAGGAAACTAAATAAAGCACTCATGATAGAACAACTAAAAAATATAGTCACGTCAAATCAATATAATCCCTGTCACCCATGCTCAACTTAGGAAACAAGGTGGACGAATGATTGTCTGTTGAGGCACAACTCTTGCTTTTACTCTTGCTGGTTGGCTGTGTTTGCTGAATCACTCGAGTTGCCTCAGGTTGCTGGCTGACTCCACCATCTGATGCAGGAGAACTACACGGTGTTGATTTGGAAACTATTTTAAACAGCGGCATGTTTTTAAAAGTTTTAGGATCACAAAATTTGCTTTTCTTTATAGTCTTATTTTTAGGCACTATCTTGGTGTGTGAAGCCTTGGGTGGCCCTAAGGGCTGAACAAAGGTGGTTGAGCCACCAAAGCCATCGTAACCCCGTGTGATGACAGATGGCAGGTGAGCCCTGGAATTGGAGATACCTGTCATCTTTTTTTGCATGATGCTCAGCATTGTTTTGGGAATGGGGGGATCATTCTGTGACTCCAATTCTAATTTTGCTCGCTTTGCTGCATGCAATTTTTCTGTTGCTGTAGGAATTTGAATGAACTTTAATTTTGGTGTAGAATGATCATAATTGTGTTTCCTTTTGTTGTCAACAACAGAATCTTCAAAGAGATCTGGAGTAGAACTCTCATTGACATCAGTCAGAGGGTCATGTTGATGAGGTGGAGTGTAGGCCACATTGGGGCTGTCCTCATTTAAAGCTTGGTTGAAGCTCTGACTACCTTCAGTTATATTATGACGCAATGCATTTCTAAGGTGCACCAGCTTTCTTCTTTTTTCATTGTTTTCTTTCTCCACCTGTTAATTCAAAGCATACTCAATAAAAATAAATGACACCTACTAATATGTAAAATGGATATAGCTTTAAAAACTCATATGTACACAATGTAGTATCAATTTTATATGTACTCATGACATACATATGAGAAACTGTTAAACATACAATGAAAAAGAAAGATGGAGAAATTCTTTTTAGAAAACTCCATAATTTTATTATGTGCTATGAAAGTTCTAAAAAACTTTAAATAGATATTTGATTACTATTAATCTTTTAAAAAGAAAAGCCCACCTTGGTCAGACCTTCATTTGCCCTTTCCAGCTCAGCAGCAAGTTCTTTAACTTTATGCTTTAACTTTCGAGCCTCAGTGTGATAGTTGCCAACTGACTGCTTCAATTTGGTCACTTTCTCCAGTAAACCTTTCTTGTCATTTAATACCTGGAACAATGGTAAAACATTACATGAGCAGATGAGCCACTACTTTATTTGTTATTAAGGGGATTCACTTATCAAATTCTTTGATTACAGCTAAGCTGTAGTCAGAGTTTCTTTCAGGCATCTCTTCTGAGGGGCTTTGCCCCCCGAAATTTTTTACCCCTCCCCCCCCCAACGAAATGAAATTTATATAATTTATATAGAAAATATATAATTTTAACAGTGTGTCCACCCCCCCCCCCCCCGAAAATTTCAAGTGCCCCCCCCCCCCCCCCCCCCGGAGAAAAAGTCTGGAAGAAACACTGGCTGTAGTGAACTGCTTTAACTAGGAGAGTAATGACTGTAGTATAAAAATCCTGCCATTCAAAGCATTAAGTAATATTTGCAGTGGCTTTAAAACTTTTTTTTTAAAATTGAGAGCTTTTTATGCTTTAAATTAAGACATCTTTGCTTGTTTTTCGATTTAGCTAAACAAACTTTGACAAAAATGGAAAAAAAAAGCAGAACGAATCTTTTGGCGGGACAGTAGGCATGTCTGTTAATACATTGACAATTAGTCGTATGTTAACTTTAGCCAGGATAAAAAAAAAGAATTTCAAAATTGTGTCTATTTGACTGATTGTAAAGTAAAATTTTCAGACCTAACAATGTATAAGGCACATGAAGTAGAGTCTGTTTCTTGAGCATGGTATATAAAGGGATGGTGTGCCCAACTGCCTTTACTTTCCCTAATGTGAGTCAGATACCCATCACAGCTGGGTGGTCTCAGAGATGTTCTACAGACATTGATACAAGCTTGTGACTTTCAAGTTACCAATGAGCACTTTACCACGCTATTGAATTACAGATTGAATACTGTCAATGTGTAAATCAAAGTCTTACTTTGCTGTACTCCCTTTTCATAACTGTGATCATACTGGCCAGCTGTTTGAGTGAAGACTCCCCACCTTCTGTGTACTGAGCCATAACTTGCTTCACATCATCTTCACAACCTGTAGTTACATTTATTGCCTTCAAATCCACATGAAACAATGCCTGCTTAATGTTGTTTCATTTTTAGGACAAACTTCAGGAAATTTACTAAACAATTACTTTTAATCAACAATTTAAAAAATAGTGGCCTACCATTCAAAACTATCTCAAGATTTTGAAGTGCTTCAAGTTTTTTCTGAGTTTTCCTAAATTCTTTCATGTCATCTACAAAGACAGCATTTTCATTCTGTAACAGCTGAATGTTCCTTTGCATGACCTCTTTTATGCTGAGTTCTTTATTTAATTTAATGGTTAAACTTTCACACAATGACTCAGATTGTGCTAGCCTTATAGCAAGCTTATCCCTGGCATCTGCAAGGTCTTGCTTTTGTCTATCTTTCTCACTTAACTGAACCTATTCAAGAAAATAAGATTTCCTGTAGGGATAGTTAGACCACACAAAGAAGGTGTATATTGACAGTACAAGTAACCAGACAGCCCCTTCTAAACCATTTATGAAATTAATCACAACTTAGTGAGTGAATATCAGGTTAAGACTTTCAATTGTAAAATAAGTGCCATTATAGAGTTGAAGTTATCATTAGCTCTATTCTCTGACTCTCAAATATGGTAATTACCAGCTCCAGCTATTGCTCATTGGCTAAGCATACTTAGAACAGAGTTAAGATTGCTGTCACCCATGTTACAAGTCACTAGACATGTGGCTTTCTGCCAGGCTTTTGCTTCATCCCCCCAGCATATCGCACCAACTGGTTTGGACATGTGGGCAGTTCAGTCAGGAGATGACTTTTGATTTAGCAATGACATGGTCTAATGTTACACCACATCGTCCCCAACTTTAACCTGATGTTAATTTTAATTTGGTATGCTGGAGGGTAAAGTGCTCAAAAATGGATGTGCATATACATATTCTTGTGACTTAAGACATAATAATAGAGTTTTCTGATAGACCTGTAGCGGCTGATAAAAAATGAGAAATTAGTACTGATTATTGAGCACTGCGTTAACACTGCTGTGTATTTGATAAATGGTAAGTGATTCTTGTCATTGTATTTATTTATTGCCAGACAATGGATTAAAAGCTTTAGTCGGCAGGAAATATTAAACAAGTCAACCTTGTTAGACACCTGAGCTAGGTGTATGTTTGTATAAAGTGACAATAAATACTAGCTTACCTTAAGATTTCCTATTTGATTGATAAATTTACTAATGTCTTCATTTCCATTCAAATCTTCAGCTATGTCGAAATAGAGACGCTTAATTATCTGTAAAATATTGAAAAACAATTTTAAAATTGTTAAATAATGGATTCTAAATAAAATTTATGCATGACAATTTGACTGACCAGTAGAAAATAAATAAGTTTTTAGCCATACCTGATTTGGTTTTACAGTAGTTCGACAGCTGGGACATGTGGAAGAGGTATCCATCCATCTCATGAGACATGTTTCATGAAATGTGTGTCCGCAGTGCAATGCTGCAATATTTACAGTCAAGGCATCCTCAAATAGGTCGGAGCAAATACAGCACTGTGCCCTCATTACTGAAACAAAAAATTAAAATTTGTTCTTTTGGGATATAGGCTATAATTGCCAAATGAAAAATTAATACAGAAATGATATACAAATTGTCAAATTAAACTATAAGTCATGTAATAAGGATCACAATCTTAATGTTTAAGACTGACTTGATAAAAAATGAGCAGCTTGACACGAATATTGTAGTTAAACTTCAGACATCTGCCAGATCCTCATGTCCAATTTGTCCATGATACTGCTTCGAGAAAATAAAGAAAAATGTATCATATTAAAGATGAAAAAAAACACATTAGAACATATAGGCTATATACAAAATGATAAGCAGGGAAAAGACTACTGCTACATAAAAAATAAACCAAAAATACAAAAAACTATTTCTGAAACTAGGGTGAATTATTATAAAGGATTGGATTCAAAGTATGAAGTGGCTATTCCAGGTCGACTGGGGTTAGCCGTATTAGGGCTTTTCCCAACCTGAACTGTTCATGATATATTTAAAACGAGCCGACCCGCTGCGTATCATACGCCGCTATTTAGTGTTTTTTTTCTACTTTTCAGTAATTTATAATTTGTGAATTCGACAGTACCAATGCTGCCATTGAAAATATTTGCTTAAAAACACTAAACCCCCCCCCCCCCCCACGTGAAAGCAGCCTCCTTAGTTACCTCCTCTAAGTTTAAAATCGTTTCAAACTAAATTATCTGCCCCTAATAGCCGTCACCAAACCCGTCTCTATGATTGTAAAATGTAAACAGAGTGAACACCGCTCACCAGATCATGTGGGGGTGGGGTGAGGGTGGTAGTGATAGTGATAGAGAGGAAGAGAGGGGACTGCAAAGGCGCGCTTGCAGCTTGTTTTCTAACTGATCCCAGAAGAGAATTATATATATATAGATTTTAATTTGGTATGGTGCAGAGTAGTCAAGTTAATGTACATCTCTCATGCCATAAAAACCAGGTATTAATCTGTAGGATGCTCGCTTCCATTTGGGATTTATTTGAAAATTTCAATTTTATTTTTGCCGTAATTGAAGAAAGGATAATTTGACTATTTTTAAAAATCTGAATTGTGTAGGCCTAATTGTAATTTCTTCTTGCTTGAGGCATGATTGCGAGCATTTTTTCAAAGATTAAATAAAACGCAATGAAAACAGAGAACATTGCTATGGCATTGACCCTGGAAGCGTAAATATTAATAACTTAAACAAAATTTACTTGATCAAGGAATCTAGGCAAGTTCAATATTGCCTACATTTTATAGGACTAACTACAGTATCTAGGGCTGACACTGAAAATTTGAACTGCTAAAGTGCAGCTTTAAAGTTAACTAATCTAAAGGTAAGTAAATCAATACTATAAAGATGAAATGGACTCTGTGTCTGTGTATGCATGTTTGTGGAAGACATGCAATGGAAAAAAAACTCTAAATCAAAAACTTTTACAGGCAAAAAGAATGACGTCAAATGAAAAAAATTTTTTATCAAGTCAGAAAAAAACAAAACTTATAAAGTTGAAACTCACGAAAAGTACACAAAAAGAATGATGTCATTATTTGTGGATAAAATAGAATAGTCAAGGATAAACAATAATAATGACATCACTAATAATGGATAATAAAGACGCTTACATTACCGCCAATTTATTAGTCTAAAATATTAAAAGTGTATGTACAAGAAACAAACAGCAAATACGAATAAGAATATGACACAAAAGCAGAATAAATAACGTAACAATTAAAAATATGAAACTAAGCAGGTAGGCCTATAGATCTAGGCCTAATCAAGACAAATGTCATAAATAGATTTAAACCAAATATCAAAAAAGTAAACAGCTGCTCATTTAGTTCTAAGTCTAGGTGAAGCTACTAAGTGTAAGTAATAGGCACCAGTCTAGCATGAAGTCTTCTATAAAGTATAGATCTATATAGGGGTTGAAATTTCGATTGTAGGAAAAAAAGTCACAGGAAAAAAAAACAGAAAAAAAAGTCACAGGAAAAAAAGTCACAGGAAAAAAAGTCACAAATATATATTTGCATGATACTTGTTAATACTTTTATGTATTAAATATTTAGAGAGTGCAAATTAACTTAGGATTAATTAAATGTAATGTGTGTAGGCTGTATACGCATAGTAATTTTTATAATTCATCTAAAAATATTTAGTATGAAGTATGTAGATTGTAATTATGTAAAACTTAAGGTTAGTAGCGTTTAATAGAATGCTCCAAAGTCCACGGTTTTAATCCTGTTTTTTTTTTTAAAATACCAACATTAAATTACCGTGAAATGGTAAGTTCATCTGACTTGCTGCCCTCAACTCATGGCCACAATAGTTATGTTTAGATGTTTAGTTCAACCACCTTTACTGCCCACATTTATCACGCTCATTACATAACAAAACTTAGGATCAAAACAGAAAGCCGACAAGGTTGAAAGGCTGTCATTGACGCATGACGTCAACAACACAAGATATGTTCGGACAATGCCTACTGAGGAGAGGCCGACCAGAGAATAGCCTACGGCAAAATTTTCCTAAATTTCTTTTATAATTAACTTTTCTACCGCGTTTTTAACTAAATACGTAACAAAAGTTGAGAGTGTTTGTTTTTACTTACAATTGTTATAAACCATAATGCTCTTAACGTCTATAAATAATTTATGCTATAAAAAAATACAACCCACAACAATAAACATGCAAAATGTTACAATTCTAAACAAATAAATAAAAATATTTCTAAAAATATTTTTGTGACTTTTTTTTTGTGACTTTATTTCTGTGACTTTTTTCCAAAAATTTTTTTCCACTGTGACTTTTTTTCTGTGACTTTTTTTCCTAGCAAAAACTGTGACTTTTTTTCTGTGTTTTTTTTCCTGTGACTTTTTTTCCGTTTACCGAAATTTCAGTTCAGAAAATGTCGATTTTAGTTTAGATACCCATAACAGAATCTTCCATAAAAAAGGTGTGTTGGGTTGTTAGTAGTATTGTAATCTCAACTAATTTTATGGTTAGAAATTAGGGTTAGGCGTATGGTAGGACTAGGTACAGGGTTAGCATTGACTATTGACATTAGCCAGCCAGGTGTGTATTTTAGTAGTATTTTACTATTTAGACTACCAGTAACCTAACACCCTTTTTTTAAAAGAAGATTCTATTATAGGACAATGGTATAAAAATTCCCCCCAAAAAAGTGTACAGTGGTGCTGTATTATGTTTGCGTGATTGCTTTTGGTTAGGGTTAAGTTTAGAGTTAGATTAGGGTTGCTAATTTTTCTACATGCCTGGGCCTGAACATCCACAGAGGTAAAAGTAAAGTTCTCAAAGTCTATGCATCAAACAGCAGCCCCATAACATTGGCAGAAGAAGCCCTAGAAGAAGTGGATAGATTCACCTACCTTGGAAGTATTGTTGATATTGATAAGCAGGGTGGGACAGAAGCAGACATAAAAATAAGGACGGGCAGTCTTCAACCAACTAAAAAATGTTTGGGGTTCTGGAGATTTAACCCTTGGAATAAAAACCTGATCTTCAACACACTAGTAAAACCTGTTTTACTCTATGGAGCTGAGACATGGAGAATAACTGCTATAAATAAGAAGAAAATACAATCATTTATAAACGTATGCCTCAGAAAGATCCTGCGAATTCGCTGGCCTAAAACCATCAGAAATGATGTTCTATGGCAATGGACAAATCAACTGCCAGTTGAAGTAGAGATCCTCCAGAGAAAATGGAAATGGATTGGCCACACACTCAGGAAGCCTGTATCCAGCATAACAAGACAGGCCCTCACCTGGAATCCTCAAGGCAGGAGGAGGAGAGGCAGACCAAGAAAGACCTGGAGACGTGACCTGGAAGAAGACACCAAGAAGATTGGATACACCTGGGGACAGTTAGAGAGACTAGCCCTGGACCTGGACAGAGACGTCGGGTGTGGGGAAATTGCAAGACGCGAAAAGCGAAATGGCGAGGCGGGAAAATGCGAGAAGGGCGCGAAAACGGTCGGTCACGTGACTTTTTGTCTCGCATTTTACCACAACCCGATACTTACGCTGGGTGGTGTTGAAATGCGAAGATTTCTGTGAAAAATTTACCACACCTGATTTTCAGTGGTATTTGGTCCAGACTTCAAAGACGTTTCGTTTAAATTGTTAAAACTACAGATTTTTCCGTCGCTAGACATACTGATGATTTGTCAACTCCCCCCATCTTTTGTGTCGACTTGGAATACCACCTTGTTCGAAACCGACGGAAATACCGCCGACGATAGATCAACTTCTCTTTTGTGTGGAACGCCGAGGCCACCTGATTTACCGTCTTTGAAGATCACCGTGCCCGGATCCGCTGCAAACATATTTTCTATTGTTGCAAAGAAATTTTGCATTATAGCCGCCGCCTATTATTTATTATTTCCATAAATAAGTCAGAAAAAATAACCTCAAATTAAGTAACGATTAGTGCCCTATGTGAAGGCGAGGACTAGATTAACCCTCCCCTATGTGTTGCTTATTCCTAAGCTTTTATTAACTCTCAATGCCCCCAGTTTTTTTTCTCTTACTTGCTGTTTGGGGAAAAAATAAAAGTGATGTCACCGATATTATCAGTTGCTCGTGTTATGTCGTAAGCTATGGGCCTACTTCAAATATTTTTTAAACCAGTTTGAACTTATCTGAATTTTTTGGTTTTGGTGGTGGTGTTATTTGGGGTCTTCCATAAATGACGTCACACTCGTAGGGGGGGAGGGGGGGGGGGGTCTGTAATTTTAATTTTATGACGATGTGTGATGAGGGGGAGGAGGGGGGTTAGATGTTGTGAAGTCACACTATAAAAAAGCAATGTTAGAAAAAGAATTTTAGACTTTTCGCGTTTTAGAAAACTGTTTTAATAAATTGTAATAGGAATTAATTAAAATACTCTATTTTGACCAAAATTAGACAAGATTTTGGGAAAATATTGATGTTTTTAAAAAATTCAACTGCAATTTTGAGAGGTGACGGAGGTGAGGGGGGGGGGGGGGGGGGAATTGTTTTACACTTTTTGCAAGTACAAAAATGTTGCAGAATATCTCTCCTGCTGACAAGATTATACCAATTCACAATGACACAGCTCACGTTTGTATAAACATAAGCGGGCTAGATTTTTAAAATTAATGCCGACTGAGACGGGATTTTCCTCTCGCTAACAATGTTAGGATTTTTAAATAGATAGATCTAGATCTATATATCTTCTTAGTATCTATCTATCTATATAATAAAATCTAGATAAAAAATAACAACATACAACACTCGCTTGTTTATTTTAAAACAAAAAAAAATAATTTAAATAAATAAAGATGAAAAAACTTTTTTCGCAAAAAGTGTCTAGCTATTTACCCTTAATTCCGCAGCTTTGTCTCGCATTATCTTCTCGCATTTTCCCGCCTCGCCATTTCGCTTTTCGCGTCTCGCAATCTCCCAACACCCAGAGACGTCTGGAAAGCTCTTGTCAGCAGCCTATGTCCCAGTAGGGACGACAGGCAAACCTAACCTAACCTTAGAGCCGGGTGTGGGGAAATTGCGAGACGCGAAAAGCGAAATGGCGAGGCGGGAAAATGCGAGAAGGGCGCGAAAACGGTCAGTCACGTGACTTTTTTGTCTCGCATTTTACCACAAGACAATACTTACGCTGGGTGGTGTTGAAATGCGAAGATTTCTGCGAAAAATTTACCGCACCCGATTTTCAGTGGTATTTGGTCCAGACTTCAAAGACGTTTCGTTTACATTGTTAAAACTTCCGATTTTTCCGTCGCTAGACATACTGATGATTTGTCAACTCCCCCCATCTTTTGTGTCGACTTAGAATACCACCTTGTTCGAAACCGACGGAAATACTGCCGACGATAGGTCAACTTCTGTCTTTTGTATGGAACGCCGAGGCAAGCCTGATTTACCGTCTTTGAAGATCGCCGTTCCCGGATCCGCTGCCGCCGCAAACATATTTTCTATTGTTGCATAGAAATTTTGTATTATAGCCGCCTATGATTTTTTTCTAGCTTTTTTTAACCATATAAATCTAAGCACAAGGAAATGCCTACATCATTTGGATACAACAAAATAAAGTGACGTCACCGATATTATCAGTTGCTCGTGCTATATCGTAAGCTATGGGCCTACTTCAAATATTTTTAAAACCAAGTTGAACTTATCTGAATTTTTTGGTTTTGGTGGTGGTATTATTTGGGGTCTTCCATAAATGACGTCACACTCGTAGGGGGGGGGGGGGGTGGTCTGTAATTTTATGACGATGTGTGATGAGGGGGAGGAGGGGGGGGGGGGGGGGGTTAGATGTGAAGTCACACTATAAAAAAGCAATGTTAGAAAAAGAATTTTAGACGTTTTTCGCGTTTTAGAAAACTGTTTTAATACATTACAAAAGGAATTGATTAAAATACTCTATTTTGACCGAAGTTAGACAAGATTTTGGGAAAATATCGATGTTTTAAAAAAACTCAACTGCTGGTGACAACAATGAGCAAGATATTGCCAAAATTACAGAAATGATAAAAAATACAAATTATAAAAAACAGAAAACAGATGTTGAGCGTGCGGATGATGATGATGAGAACATGGGTGCCAGTGTTGTTTGTGGGATGAACGAGGAGGTCAACTGTGATGAGAATGTGAAATGTTGTGAATGTCGATTGGAAGAAGTAGCAAAAGAAAAATGTATAAATGGGAGTCTAATGAACTGGGTTGGGTGTACTATGTGTGAAAGATTGTGTCACGAGGTGTGTTTGAGGACTGTTTCAGAAGATTTTGTTTGTAAATTTTGTTTGTAATTAAAATTACTTAATAAAAAAATAAATTGCACTTTTTAGAATTGTTTATACTTTTACACTTTTTGCAAGTACAAAAATCCATAAATAGATGTTGCAAAATATCTCTCCTGCTGACAAGATTATACCAATTCATAATGACACAGCTCACGTTTGTGTTTGTATAAACATGAGCGGGCTAGATTTTTAAATTAATGCCGACTGAGACGGGATTTTCCTCTCGCTATCAAGAGCGGGCGATGACCGTAGCACAGCAACGATGTTAGGATTTTTAAATAGATAGATCTAGATATAGATCTATCTATCTTCTTAGTATCTAGATAAAAAATAACAACATACAACACTCGTGTTAAAGGGTATGGTTAAATGCTTGTTTATTTTAAAAATATTTAAAAAAATAATTGAAATAAATAAAGATGGAAAAAAAAAGGAAAAAACTTTTTTCGCAAAAAGTGTCTCGCAATTTACCCTTAATTCCGCAGCTATGTCTCGCATTTTCCCGCCTCGCCATTTCGCTTTTCGCGTCTCGCAATTTCCCCACACCCCTTAGAGCCTGGGGAGTTAGTTTAGGATTATGTGTAATTTTCTTTGATGTCCAGATTTGCATCTAGATCTAGATATTAGGGCTCAACTCATTAGTAATTAGGCCTAATATTAATATAGGCCTAATCCAGTAATTGACTTAAAAATTGAACAAGAAAGTAGGCCCCAAACCCGGGCATTTGCTGCTTAATTCCAGCTTAATAAACAAACACACAAGTCACAGTCCTATACACTAAACATTAATAGATTCTAGATTTTCTAGATCTATTCTAGATTAATCTAGATTCTAGATCTAGAATCTCTATTTTAATTTTATTCGGTAATCTATCGTTTTGGGTACGTAAAATCGCCCGCGACTAGTAATGTGAAAAACAGGTGACTCCTTACATTTTAATAATTATTTCACATTTTGAGGAGGATTTATGTTTTGAAAAATACAAAAATGTTTCCTTGTTTCATTTATGTACCTGTTTTTAAACAATTGAATTAAAACTTTTCAGTAATAAATGAACACCAGCGATGTTTCCAACAGATGCAACCATGCTCATTTACTATAGCAGCCATCTTGTTAAAGTTTTATTTTTATAGACTTATAGCGCCAGATTCAGGCGGAAGTCACTCTATTTTACAAATGGCTGCTGTTTATATAGTAATATATAGCAAATCTTGCTTGCAGACACTGCTGTTTAAAGTTAATTTCTGGCCTATATTGATATATTTAGCCATTGATTTAGGTTTACGAAGTGTCTATTCACAGTCGACTGTGAATAGCCGTATTGGGGCTATTCACAGTCGTATTCACGTGACCGTTTTTGATAGATTTAATGTTAAAAATACCCAACTAGGCATGAAGATGTGTGGTCGAGCTGTCATTGGGAGTGGCTGCCGTGCCAGAAGGTGTGGGTTCAAATCCATCAGATGCCCTGTTTTTATAGCTCTTAATCTATGCCTTTCATTCTTAATATCTAAAATATTTTTTTCAGTTACTTATGTTAATTTTTTTTGTGACGTTATAGTTGGCATATCAGCAAAAAAAAAAAAAATTAAATAAAAAGAGAGGAAAAAAACACAAAAGTGTGATGGAAACTGTGAATTATAGCTGATTATATTCTAGTGTATAGATTTAGAGTGCATAATTGATCATCTATGACCTACGTAGCCTGTAGCAGATATGTCTGATATGAGCCTAAAAGCTAAACTAAACTTTAATTGTAATAACTTTTTTATAACAAAATAAAAAACGCACTGCTCTCTTAATCTATACCTCATTCCCCAGTCACAATAAATGCTTTTATTATTTTAAGATATTATTCACAGTCGTATTTAGCATGAAATGACAGCCGACTGTGAATAGCCGTATGTAGGCTTTTTGATGAGAATTACAGAATGATTTTTTTTATTAAAAATGTATTAATAATAGCTAGAATACTAGTAAACTAAGCTAATTTAGCATATTTTAACTTTCTGTGCAAAGTCATTATTACTGAAAAAAATTCCAAAGTCAGGTCAGCCTGTGGCACCCTCCACTGAACTTGAAAGAAGGAAAAAAAACTTGACCCGTGACCTTCATTAAAACAGAATTTACTTATGTTTCTTTTTAACTATTAGTAAACATGTGCTTAATATTACCCAATAAGTAATAAAAATTTGACAATTAATTTTAATTACTGTTGTAAAGTGAGATAAACAGCTTAATAAACACGTGTTTTCTTGAGGGGGTGTGACCCGGGTGTGGAACATCGCATGTAACTTTTTATTTCTGTGTCTTATGACTATTTGTTCACAATCAGCATGCTATGCTTTTAAAATTGATAAAGGGTAAGTATACCAAGCTACAAAACCTAAAATCTAACTAATAATTCATACTTTCAGTTTAAAAAATAATAAAAACGATCATCAATGAAGAAAGCGTAAACATTCTATTTTTAGGTGTGACATAAAAAAACAGTCATAAACCTAGCCAAATGATTGGATTCTTGCGCGGCACACATTTTCCCGCGCCTCGTGTTCACCAAAAAAGATTATAATAAAATGGCATTATTACTTGCACGGACCACATCTCATTCCGACCATAAGTTATTACCAGTTAATTGTAATGTGTGTAAAATTGATACTTTCAAGTTTCATATACACATAGTTTGGTTTATTATACACTGGGTATTTTAGAGTTATTTGATTCGAAAGATGAGAATTATATAGAGCTACTTTCACTAAGGCGCCGCTTGCGAGACAAACAAAGAAATTAGGCCAAAAGTAGATCCGACAATTCTTAATTAATAGACTTAAATAGAAACGGATAGTTCCGATTTCTAAAATTAACGATGGCTTCGTAATCATTAGTTTTATCCCTCTACCCATTAGTGAAAGCGAAACTGGTCGCCATTTTTGGTAAGCGCATGAGCCGTGAGATGGCTTCAAAACAACAAACCCGGAAGCTGTGAATCGAACGGCCTACGTATTGGGGCTATTCACAGTCGGCTGGGAATAGCCCCAATACGGCTATTCCCAACCGGCTGGGAATAGCCTTGGCCTTAGGTTTATTATTCATTTATCTATAATATTTGACACAAACATATCACAATATACTTCTATTACAGCCTTGACAATGAGGTAACGTTTTCGTACATTAATAGCCGCGGGCGATTTTACGTACCCAAAACGATAGATTACCTTTTATTCAGTTGCTTCACGTTCCGTCACCACCAGCTGAGCGTATAGTATTTATTAAATAATTAAATAATCATAAAATAGTCTAATTTATTATGAACACCCTATTTACTATTTATGAATATTTACTATTATTTAGGCCTATAGTCTATTTATCGATGCTTAGTATAATTAGATCTAGATATCTACTAATACTAAAAAGTATTATTATTAATATTAGGCCTCTACAGTTGTAACCGTCCTTTACTTTTTTGTTTATCTTTATTGTGACGGTTTGAATTGAGGCTGATTTCCGCGCTCTTGTTTCCTCTTCTTTAAAAAAAGATCATTGCTGGTATATGAGCTAACGTTATGCCAGATAGGCCTATGCACAGTTAGGCATAGACTTATTTTCTGATTTCTTGGTCCATGTCTAGCCTATTGTCTACCCTCAACGAATAAAAGAGAAAATTTTCGGGCTTAATATAATAATAATAATAATAATAATAGGCTAATAATAATAATAGGCTAATAATAATAATAATAATGATAGGCCTAATAATAATAATAATAATAGGCTAATAATAATAATAATAATGATGATGATGATAATAATAATAATAATAATAATAATAATAATAATAATAATAATAATAATAATAATAATAATAATAATAATAATAATAATAATAATAATAATAATAATAATAATAATAATAATAATAATAATAATAATAGGGCTGGTAAGTAGGTCACCAACCATGCAGGTTTTATTGAGCCGTAGAACTGGTTGGTGACCTACTTACCAGCCCTGTGGGGGGGGGGGGGGAGTAATAATTTTAATGCATTTTTATTTTCTATTATGGGTAATTATTTTCTAACTCTAAAAAAAAGTTATTGGATGTAATCCATGGTTGCTGTTTGTTGTTTGTTTGGTGTTTTTTTTTTGGGGGGGGGGGGGGGGGGCAGTGACGCGCTTCTAAGGAAGGGGCAGTACATACCTTAGATGCCTGAAGGAAACTGCCTAGCTGTTTCTATCACCATACAGGCAAATTTATAATTGGACATGACATTAGCACTAAAAGTCGCATTCACGGCCTATGTTAATTTACACACATAACCTTCAAACATCGTATTGTGCAATGTCAAAACGAAGCTGTGTAATCTTGTGATATCATCATACACTTCAAAGCATACACGATATTTTCTTTTCAAGCGTACTTGGGTATTTTAAAATATAAATTCTTTATTTAATGTATTATGAATTTTAGTGTTTGATTTAGTAAATCAATTGCAATAATGTTTTTAAAAAAAGAATGTTCGTTGTTTCTCATAGGTTACTAGCCACGTAGCTGATTTAACACCTACATATTCTATAGACCTTGTACAGAGGCGTAGCGACCCTTCCCGGCGCCCGGGGACATACTTCCAATTTGGCGCCCCCTCGAGAGCAAATTTTCGATTTGCACCCCCCCCCCCCCCTCAAACTTTTCATTTGCACCCCTCCCTCAAACTTTCAATTTGGCGCCCCCCCCTAAGGTCGGCGCCCGGGGACATATGTCCCCCCCGCCCCCCCCCCCCCCCCTCGCTACGCTACTGACCTTGTAATCACATATAGCAAGGTTGGCAATACTCAATCAATATCTAGCTAGTATATATATATATATTACGTGGCGCTTTTTCTCGAATCGCCGCTCCCCAAACCCGAAAACTTGCATACGTCCTGAGCCTAACCAGTGTTTCTTCCAGACTTTTTTCTCGGGACGGGGGGGGGGGGGGGGGGTTCGACAGAAAGGGGGGGGGGGTGGCGATGTTGAAAAAACTTTAGGTGATGGCACGTCAGATCTCTCACAACTTTCTGTGTCATTTGGTTTAGAACACGGCCCTTGGTGTAACGTCTCTGTATACACACAAGATGTTTCAACGTACATTGATGGTAAAAGTAATCTCTCTCTTGATATATAATAAATATTATATATATTAAAAAAATTATCTAAGAAACTCCATATATATATATATATATACATATATATATGGAGTTTCTTAGATAATTTTTTGTTCTAAAAAGGAGTGTTAAGTTGGTTTTCCCGAAAACACAAGTTCGTGCATTACTTAAATGGTGCCGAGTTGAGAGTATTCTAAGGTAAGTTCGGGGAAATCGCTCTCAGTAGAAGCCTGTTAGACCACATTGGCACCTTGCCTCAGAAACCGCGATGAGGTAAACATTTCACACGAATGGCCACCTCACTCTGAAGGGATTTTTTTTTTCTTACAGGTAATATTTTTTTCCCGTTTATAAAATCACCTATATATCACTTATATATATATATATATATATATATATATATATATATATATATATATATATATATATATATATATATATATATATATATTTCACCACACAGTCTACATGTTTTACTTACTGTCATTAATGTGCAATTAATGTTTTTCTACATCAGACGTATATTTAAATTTCTGGTTCTATGATATTTAATGTGGTTAAGGATAATTGAATCACATCTTGTTTTACGATTGGACTATTGAGGACATTCATTCAATGTTAAACATATTGAAGAAAGAATAATGATATTGACAATATACAAACTTATTTCCATAGCAACCGCAGTGTTGATGACAGGTGTCTCGTGTTCACCAACAGGTACTTTCTGTAAAGATAGGACCTTGTTAGGTCATTGTCGACATGTCTTTGGTATATAATATATTTATTAGGTCTCTGTCGAGTTAGTCTTTGCTGTAGGTCTATAAACATCATTAGGTCATTGCCGAGGTTGTCTATGATGTAGGTCTATAAAAATCATTAGGTAACTGCCGAGGTAGTCTTTCTTCTTCTTTTCTTCTTCTTCGTTCTTAATTTTTAGTGTTGGAAGGGATCGAGCCTTATCTGCCAGAGGGTTTGAACTCGAGACTTTTTTCGAATTTATCAACCATGAGCTTTTGCCGACTCGACCACGCCTCCATCACAAGGAAACGTGTCAACTGGTTATGCGCCATAGAGGCCATTGACTCTGATTTCAGCCTGCTTTTCTTTTTGGATTTGCTTCCATAGCCTTTGTCCAACCAAGAACAAAATTACAAGGCAGCATTTGTTTGATTTTGGAGTTGTCTGTAATAGAAGAGTGGCTGTCCCCAGCTAACGAGACTTTCATCGGGTGAGCCCACCCTCACCCCGAAGAGATGCCTGGAAGGTACTCTGGTGATGATCATTCTCAAATATGTTTCCATTTTAAGTTTTAGTTCCGTTTGTGACTTAAAATCTTGGCAAGAGTGGACTTTCACTCTTCTTCGTTTCAAAACAAAAGTTGACAAATCAAATGTTAAGAATGATGTGAGGTCGGCGTTTAACAAAAACTCACTCGCTAATGTTAAAGCTATTTATTATTTTATTTTAAAAAGTTATCTGGGACGCGCCAACTTGGCTTTACTAAAACGTTGTAGCCGCCCATAACACATTGGGAACATGACTGTGATCTACTTACATTTGGCTTTACTAAAACGTTGTAGCCGCCCATAACACATTGGGAACATGACTGTGATCTACTTACATTTGGCTTTACTAAAACGTTGTAGCCGCCCATAACACATTGAGAACATGACTGTGATCTAGATACTTACACTTGGCTTTACTAAAACGTTGTAGCCGCCCATAACACATTGAGAACATGACTGTGATCTAGATACTTACACTTCGCTTTACTAAAACGTTGTAGCCGCCCATAACACATTGGGAACATGTCTGTGATCTACTTACACTTGGCTTTACTAAAACGTTGTAGCCACCCATAACACATTGGGAACATGACTGTGATCTAGATACTTACACTTGGCTTTACTAAAACGTTGTAGCCGCCCATAACACATTGAGAACATGACTGTGATCTAGATACTTACACTTGGCTTTACTAAAACGTTGTAGCCACCCATAACACATTGGGAACATGTCTGTCATCTAGATGCTTACCACTGTGACATGATCCACTGTGACATGATCCACTGTGACATGATCCACTGTGACATGATCCACTGACATGATCCACTGTGACATGATCCACTGTGACATGATCCACTGTGACATGATCCACTGTGACATGATCCACTGTGACATGATCCACTGAACCATTCATTCTGTTCCACCACCAGGCCTGTCTGTCCAGGAACTGGTGAATATCCGGTGTCCCAGCGAGAAGCCCAACATTTGCCTGCGGTATGGCGTCTTCTGTAGGCTCTCTGAGTTCTGCTCAGCAGACGTGTGTGAGAGCTGCTTCCCGCTGGAGGCGAAGGCAGATCTTCTGGGGTGGTGTAGGACCGTGGGTCAGCACAACGTGTCACACATGAGACATGCGCACTGTCGTCTGGCCTGTCAGGACATCTACACGTCTGACATGCTTAGCGAGAAGAGATGTAAGCATATGGGGTTTCTTTCAGACATTTTTCTCTGCGGAGGTGAAAGGGGCTGGGGTCAATTAGAAATTTGGTAAATACATTTACTGGGGGAAGAGGGTATTACTAACATTAAGTTATTTGCCTTCATTGATGTTTTAGATTTTATTTTTGTTTTTCATAGCGATAAACAACCAACACAATATAAGCTCGGCTGCCGTTTTAATTAAAGACACCGATGTATCGTCTCTTTCTCGTTTTGAGATTATTGGTGAGTTATACTTAATATTTTTCTTTTTGCTTGTTTGATTATTGGTGAGTTTACTTAATATTTTTGTTTTTTTTTTCGTTTTTTTTTTGTTATTGTTGAGTTATATTAAACATTTTATATTGTTTGGTTTATTGGTGTGTTATACAAATTGTTATATTTATATTGGTGAGTTATACTTAATATACATTTTAAAAATATGTTTGATTTATTGGCAACGACTTCACTAGGCTATCGGAAAAACAAGACGTGTAATACATGCCATATTTAACTTGTCATATGTGTTCACCATCACATTCATCTAATACATGCCTTATATTACCAGCCAGTTTTTGGGCACCTCATTAATCTAATACATGCCTTATATTACCAGCCAGTTTTTGGCCACCTCATTCATCTAATACATGCCTTATATTACCAGCCAGTTTTTGGCCACCTCATTCATCTAATACATGCCTTATATTACCAGCCAGTTTTTGGGCACCTCATTAATCTAATACATGCCTTATATTACCAGCCAGTTTTTGGCCACCTCATTCATCTAATACATGCCTTATATTTCCAGCCATCCTGTCGTTGGCCATCTCCCTATTATGTGTTGTCTCTATGGCCATATGGATCATTATCTTCTACTGGCGTCACCATAACAACAAAACTATGTCAGGTAGTTTTCATTCATTTATAACAGCTAAATGTTATCATGATATAATTACAATTTGATGGTTTTACTGCAATTACAAGCCACATCTTAATTACATGCCACATTTAAACTATATGACACATTTAAATTACATAATACACATTTTAATTATATCCTACTTTTAATTACATTCCACACTTGACATTCCAGCTTCAAAGAAAGGGCCAACTCTTCAAGGTAGTTTATTTTTATTTTATTTCTGAAACTTTTTTTAGTGTTGATGGTAAACGCTGAACCAATTAGTATTAATATTTGGGCTATTAAGACCTAATGAAGTCGATATTGACTTCACAAGGAGAGTGCAACCTTCTAATATATACATATAAAAAAAACATCCCTTCCAACCAACACGTCCTTTTTGAGTGCCTAAACGTATGATATCTACACAGGTAGATGGGAAATTGGGGAGAGGGGGTGGGATGTCAAACTTGAGGTCAACATTCAACTGTCAATAAACCGACCCGGTGAGAGTAGGGTGACATTTGCTTTGGCTGCTTGAATCTGAGATCAGGTCTAATTTTTTATGTCTGAGATCAGGACTAATTTTTTATGTCTGAGATCAGGTCTAATTTTTTATGTCTGAGATCAGGTCTAATTTTTTATGTCTGAGACCAGGTCTATTTTTTTTAATTCCTTAGATCAGGTTTAATTTTTTTTTCTTTCTAAGATCAGGTCTAATTTTTTTATGTCTGAGATCAGGTCTAATTTTTATACGTGATCTCATGTCCAATTTTTTTATGTCTGAGATCAGGTCTAATTTTTATACGTGATCTCATGTCTAATTTTTTATGTCTGAGATCAGGTCTAATTTTTATACGTGATCTCATGTCTAATTTTTTATGTCTGAGATCAGGTCTAATTTTTATACGTGATCTCATGTCTAATTTTTTATGTCTGAGATCAGGTCTAATTTTTATACGTGATCTCATGTCTAATTTTTTATGTCTGAGATCAGGTCTAATTTTTATACGTGATCTCATGTCTAATTTTTTATGTCTGAGATCAGGTCTAATTTTTATACGTGATCTCATGTCTAATTTTTTATGTCTGAGATCAGGTCTAATTTTTATACGTGATCTCATGTCTAATTTTTTTAATACCTGAGATCAGATCCGATGTTTTTGTCTGAGGTCAGATCACATTTTTTTAGTACTTGAGATCAAACCCAATTTACCAATTACTTTTTGTCAAAACTTAATTTACTTTCTCATGTGATTAGTGTATCATTTTCTGAAGTTTTGTGTGCGACGTTTTTTTTTTTTTTTGACGTAATCAAACCTAACCTGTTGCAACTAGCAAGTTGTTTTTATGTTAGGTCATGTTCGTGTAGGACTGGAGAGAATGGATTCCATATCTTTAAGAGAACACAGAATGTTGCTGGTGGATCAAGCACGGGAGGGCAACACACCAGACGATAGGAGGGTTAATGACGTCATTGTGTGACATCATGCACGGCTGGCACAACAAGCTTGCTGAACAGACATATAGTCGTTTGGTTTTATAATTTAAAAAATGACATTATAAGAAATGACGTGTAATGGTTGTAATCTTTTTTTAAAAAATGTTTCGTTTTTATTATTTTATTTTTTATTTGAAAAAAGTCTGAATTAGAAAAAAAATCGAACATATTTTGTAAAAATGATGGTAATCATTTACATGTGATTGAATGTAATAAACGTTTAAAAAAGTGTGACAGTTTATGTCTTCAAAATTAACACCTACTGCCAAGTGAGTTTCAGACATACTAGAGGTAAATAGCTTCAATATATATATACAAGTATATACGGGGATAGCGGGTAATTTGTTTACCCTAAGGACAACAATTAATTCAGGGGGGTCATCGATAAATGACGTCACGCTTTTTTGACGATTTTTACCTCCCCCTCCCCATCCGCCACACATCGTCACAAAAAGCCAGACCCCCCATACCCTTTAATTACGTCACACCTCAGCCTACCACCCAATCCATCCTCAAAATTGCAGTTGAATTTTTCTTAAAATACGATATTTTAACAAAATCTTGTCTGAACTCAGTCAACATAGAGTCGTTTAATCAATTTCTATTAAAATTTATTGAAACAATTTTCTAAAACGCGAAATAACGGCAAAAATTCGTTTTCTAACATTGTTTTTTTATAATCCAAAAGTGTGACATCACACCATCTGCACCCCCATCCTCTCATCACACACCGTCACAAAATTACGCCCCCCCCCCTCTTTATGAATGTGACGTCATTTATGGACGACCCCCTAATGCAAAAAATTCAAGTCTGAAACAGTTTATTTTTATATTGAAGAAATCTTTATTATAAACTGGACTAAAATATGGTTTTAATGTGTAATTATTTAAAAAGAAGTAATCAGGAATTTTTTTACAAAACAAAATTTTCTGCACATAGTCCATATATCATATGGTAAAATCGTTGAAGCATTAAAGTACCAACGGGAGTAAATATCAAATTTTTAGCACTTATTTGTTATTTTCTATTTAGCTGTTGGTCACTGTATAATCTTGGTAGTCGCAAAACTTTTACTTCTATATATCCTTGTCGAGTCAAATATGACCTCAGCACTCCGCTCGTTTTTCTGTTGTCAGATTACATATCTCAAGTGCATCTTTTCCAGGATATAGCCAGATATGTCAGGAAACCTACGAAAAGAATCTTCGGTGTCTTTATTTTATAAAGCTGAAAGAGTTTACGAATCTTTGCAACAATTATTTAAGTTTTGTGATAGTTATGTGGCAAGTCGTTTTTTCCCCCAGTTTAATGAAAAGTTAACTCAGCAGAAAATCATCAAAATCCTGATCTTTCGTCACAATGGGTTTCTTGCACTTTTGGATTCTCCGTCTTGAGAAAATAAGAACTTTAATGAGAATTTTTTTTCCAATGTGTTAAAAAAATTGTATGACCTTATTAATTAAAAAAAATAATCATTTTTCTTAATCTTACACGCTGTCTAGGAAAATTCAATGTCCGTCATCATATTGTATTTGGCTTGATTAGAAAGCTAGATTTCTCATGTATTTTGATCGTATTTTTCGATAAATCGGAAACACTGAAACTCTTTCAATCGGCTTTACAAATTACACGGTGATGAGTTGGGGGGGGGGGGGAGAAGAGGGGATTTAAATAGTGTGACGTAACACTATAGATTTTTGTAAACTTCTGCTACAAACTGAATTTTAGCCGTTGTTTCGCTTCGCTTTTTTTTTAAAAACTGTTTTTGTAAACCATAATAGAAATAGATTCATCTACTCTGTATTAAGCGAACTCAAAATATCTTTGAAATCGATTAAAAAACAATTAAACAGTAATTTTGAGGAGGGGGGGGGGGGCTGTTGTCGGTTGAGGTCTGAAGTCATTTTAAGGAGGGTGCCTGGCTTTTTTGTGACAGTGTGACGGAAGGAAGGAGGGAGATAAAAATCTCCCAAAATAGAGTGACGTCATTTCTGGATGACCCCCCCCCCCCTCCCTCAACCTGCCAACCAACAACCAGCTGATGTAGCAATATGGTCTCTATAAATGTGGTGAGAGGCACCAGTCCAACAACCAGCTGGTGTAGCAATATGGTCTCTATAGATGTGGTGAGGGGCACTACCACTTTCTAGTGACTCTCAGGTTTTCATACACAAGTGGCTGCTGTTTTTGTTCTTGTAAACAGTCCGGCCGTTCTATATTCAAATGGGCCACTAGGATGACATCGGCCACTAGGATAACATCGGCCACTAGGATGACATCGGCCACTAGGATGACATCGGCCACTAGGATGATATGGGCCACTAGGATGACATGGGCCATTAGGATGACATGGGTCACTAGGATGACATGGGTCACTAGGGTGACATCGGCCACTAGGATGACATGGGCCACTATATCTGGATGATATGGGCCACTAGGATGACATGGGCCACTGGGATGACATGGGCCACTAGGATGACATGGGCCACTAGGATGACATGGGCCACTAGGATGACATGGGCCACTAGGATGACATGGGCCACTAGGATGACATGGGCCACTAGGATGACATGGGCCACTAGGATGACATGGGCCACTAGGATGACATGGGCCACTAGGATGACATGGGCCACTAGGATGACATGGGCCACTAGGATGACATGGGCCACTAGGATGACATGGGCCACTAGGATGACATGGGCCACTAGGATGACATCGGCCACTAGGATGACATGGGCCACTAGGATGACATGGGCCACTAGGATGACATGGGCCACTAGGATGACATGGGTCACTAGGATGACATGGGCCATGAGATAACATCATATGCTCCTTAAGGAAGCAGATGTGATAATGGCATACTGATGTGCAGTAGAAAAACAATCTAAATAAATAACAGGCTAATGTAGAAATAAAACAGATCAAAATCTTTTTTTAGCGCAATTTCCATTCTGGAGAATTGCGTTTATTAACTCGTCATTTCTGGGAATGGATGGATGAATGAATGAATGTATGGATGAATGTGTGTCCGCAGCTTTAAGTCGTATCTCCTCATCAACGAAGCAATATCGAGGACTAGTTCCAAAAGCAATTTTGTTAAGCAAGTTACGAGGATGAACATAGGCCATAAAAATTCCGGGTTTCTTTCATGGATTTCCCGGAAAAGCCAAAAAACCTCGAAAAAATGCCGTTTTTTGCCCATATCTCGGCAACCAGACCACTTAGCGAATTGAAACATGTACCAATCGATTCCTGCCATAATTTAGAACAATATTGCCGAAGAAAGTTTTCTTCGAATTAGTAGGCATTTTATTCAACCACACCACACGCGTCATCACGTTCAATAGCTGCGCCATCACGTTCAATGGCTGCGACATCACGTTTGGTAGCTAGGCGCGCAATGGTTTTTAGTCATGTTACTCTATTGTAAATAAAACATTTAAAATACCGAAAAAAATTAATAAAAAACGTTTTAATAACTAACCAATGGTTTTACTAACCCTGCTCTTGATTTACGCTACGACAGAGCTATTTTTAGATAACATAAGGAAATTGCGCTAAAATTGTCACTAGACTTTTTTAATTACTTGTTTTTAATTATGGTTTTGAAATCGATGAAAATTCACAGTACTTTTTTTTCCTAAAAAAATGATGAAGTAAAACAAATAATCTATTTATTTCCTAAAAAAATGATGAAGTAAAACAAATAATCTATTTATTTACTAAAAAAATGATGAAGTAAAACAAATAATCTATTTATTTCCTAAAAAAATGATGAAGTCTTAGTAAAACAAATAATCTATTTATTTACTAAAAAAATGATGAAGTAAAACAAATAATCTATTTATTTCCTAAAAAAATGATGAAGTAAAACAAATAATCTATTTATTTACTAAAAAAAATGATGAAGTAAAACAAATAATCTATTTATTTACTAAAAAAATGATGTAAACCAAATAATCTATTTATTTACTAAAAAAGCTTGGAACCCCTGGACCTCATGGCCCGGGGATTTTGTCCCCGTTGGTTACATGGTTGCTACGTTACTGACGGTATCTAACGTGAAATGCGTTGTTTTAGTGTCCTTCAGTTCTGTTTTCAAATACGAATCGGCATTTACCACACACTATAAATACCTATAGAAAATTTTTAAAATGTCCGATTTAAAAAGCATTTTTAAAAATAGGTAATTGATAGGTCCTATATATAAAACGATTTAACTTGTAATAATCGGGGTTTACCGATTGCTGCGTCTATTTCCCATTGATAACTTTTGTTAAATGACAGGTTGAACATGTAACAGGTGAGAGTTATCTAGAGATGGTATTTTACGAAGTTATTTTAATTATTATCAAATTAATTATACGTGTGTTCTTTGCCATCTATGTAAATTATAACAAACTTTTTTCCTTTCAATAGTTCTAATGTGTTAGCAACACGTCAGCTAAACAGATAATAAAACACATCTAGCCGCCCTGAACATCGAGATGATGACGTGGATTGCTCTGCTGTTGGTCGGGTGGGCGCTTAAATCCTCTGAAGGTCTGTCAGCTCTCAACAATAATGAGAAGCTGTGTGTGTGTGTGTTTGTTAGTGTGAATGTGTTCGTAAGTCTTTATGTGTCCGTGTTTTTGTCTGGTGGGTATACATGATTTTTTTTGGAATTACTAGAAAGTTAGAATAAGCATATACTGTATTCAAGTCGTACAAATGGTGTAATACTCATTTGTTAGAGGTTCTAGTGAGGGAGGAAAGTGCAGCGTTGGGAAGTGGGTGGGGCTAGGTAAAATGTGATAGCGTGTGTCTGGGTGGGGGGGGGGGGGGATAGGATGTGATGGGGTGTGTGTGGGAGGCGGTTAGGTAATATGTGAGAGTGTGTGTCTGGGGGGCGAGGGATGGGATGTGATGGTGTGTGAGTGAGGGGGGGGGGCTAGGTAAAATGTGAGAGTGTGTGTCTGGGTGGGGGGAAATAGGATGTGATGGTGTGTGTGTGGGGGGGGGGGGGGTAGGTAAAATGTGAGAGTGTGTGTCTGGGGGGGGGGAGGGATAGGATGTGATGGTGTGTGTGTGTGGGGGGGCTTGGTAAAATGTGAGAGTGTGTGTCTGGGGGGGGGGGGGGGGAATGATCTGATGGTGTGTGTGGGGGGGGGGGGCTTGGTAAAATGTGAGAGTGTGTGTCTGGGGGGGGGGGGAATGATCTGATGGTGTGTGTGTGGGGGGGGGCTAGGTAAAATGTGATAGTGTGTGAGGGGGATGGGTCTTGATACAATGTGATGGTGTGTGTGTAGGTGGGTTTAGATAGAATGTGATGGTGTGTGTAGCGGGGGGGGGGGCTAGATAGAATGCGATGGAATTTGTGGGGGGAGGGGTCTGTGTAAAAGTTAGGTAAGAATGTGTATCGCCAATATGATGAAATAAAACTGCATGAAGTCAATAAACAGAGCAGATATGTGATGCACATTTTCACGAGATTTGTGATGACAAAAGAGACTCTAATAATTCATGAATTAATTCCAGCTGCCAGCCCCACCCTTGAAGATATAGCAGCTATTGAGTGTCCATCAGAGCGGCCCAACATCTGCCTCCCCTATGGCCTGTGCTGTAAGGACGATGCTTTCTGTCATGCCGGCCAGTGTGAAGATTGTTTCCCTGCTGGGGTTAATGACCTCTTGACCTGGTGCAGGACACACGGCATCCACAACGTGTCCGTCATGCGGAGTCCATTGTGTCGTCTGGCGTGTCAGGCTCGCTATGACGTCACAGAGCTGGTCGCTAGTCCAGGTATGTTCTATTGACGTCACGGTTTTATTGACGTCACGCGTTTGGTGAAAATTGTGTGTAGTGGCATTATTTCTTCAGACCAATTCTAGCGTGACCACTGCATGAAATCAATTAGCGTGACCACTCCATAAAATCAATTAGCGTGACCACTGCATGAAATCAATTAGCGTGACCACTGCATGAAATCAATTAGCGTGACCACTCCATAAAATCAATTAGCGTGACCACTGCATGAAATCAATTAGCGTGACCACTGCATGAAATCAATTAGCGTGACCACTCCGTGAAATCAATTAGCGTGACCACTCCGTGAAATCAATTAGCGTGACCACTGCATGAAATCAATTAGCGTGACTACTGCATGAAATCAATTAGCGTGACCAATGCATGAAATCAATTAGCGTGACCACTGCATGAAATCAATTAGCGTGACCACTCCGTGAAATCAATTAGCGTGACTACTGCATGAAATCAATTAGCGTGACCAATGCATGAAATCAATTAGCGTGACCACTGCATGAAATCAATTAGCGTGACCACTCCGTGAAATCAATTAGCGTGACCACTCCGTGAAATCAATTAGCGTGACCACTACATGAAATCAATTAGCGTGACCACTGCATGAAATCAATTAGCGTGACCACTGCATGAAATCAATTAGCGTGACCACTCCGTGAAATCAATTAGCGTGACCACTACATGAAATCAATTAGCGTGACCACTGCATGAAATCAATTAGCGTGACCACTCCGTGAAATCAATTAGCGTGACCACTACATGAAATCAATTAGCGTGACCACTGCATGAAATCAATTAGCGTGACCACTCCGTGAAATCAATTAGCGTGACCAATGCATGAAATCAATTAGCGTGACCACTGCATGAAATCAATTAGCGTGACCAATGCATGAAATCAATTAGCGTGACCAATGCATGAAATCAATTAGCGTGACCACTGCATGAAATCAATTAGCGTGACCACTGCATGAAATCAATTAGCGTGACCACTCCGTGAAATCAATTAGCGTGACCACTCCGTGAAATCAATTAGCGTGACCAATGCATGAAATCAATTAGCGTGACCACTGTATGAAATCAACTAGCGTGACCACTGTATGAAATCAATTAGCGTGACCACTACATGAAATCAACTAGCGTGACCATTGCACGAAATCAATTAGCCTGATTGAAAATTAACTAGAAGTTAGGGATTTAAATAGCTTAAAGATAATTTTTTTTAAAATTTGGTTAATTGATTTAAAAAAATATGTGAATTGATTTTGAAAATGAGTAGATAATTTATAATAATAATAAAAATAAATAAATTAATTATTATAATGGTTTCATTGTTTTGTAACATACGTCAATGAATTAAAAAAATAAGTTAATGATTTGTTTAAATAGGTAAATTAATTTTACAAATTGGTAAATTAATTTCCCCCATAGATTCAAAGAAATCCGACGTAGCGCTGTATTGTATGATAGCAGTTGCCATCTTTTTTGTCCTGTATTCTCTGGGCGTGTCTGTCCTGGGTCTCAAAATGTACAGGAGAGAGAGGAACAAAATCTACGCGCCAGTTGACCAGGGGTGGGGTGAACAGGATAAGAATGCCAGCAAAAAGAACAAAAAGGACTCGATAGTTGATGTCCATTTACAGGGTAAGTCGTCTAGTTTAAAGCTGACTGGAAGGTAGTGCATGTAAATAGAAGGCGTAGGAAGTAGGTCAGTGTGATGTAAGAAATAGGTCAGTGGGTGTAAGAAATAGGTCAGATTATATAAAACGTATGTCAAGGAATGTAAGAAGTAAGCCATTGCATGTTACATGCAGGGCAATGGATGTAAGACAAGCCAATAGCAATAAATGAATTGTATCCCAAACTCTCTCATTCCTAGATGATACACATCTAGCTGCAGACGACAGCATCGGATCCACAACTCTTAGACTTTTTACCACCAACCCTCAAAAAGATCAAACCACTGACAATGACATTGATGTCAACAACGGATCTCAAATAATGGAGACTGAAATATAATTCTATGTATCATCAAAACGTCAAGAACGAAGATTGAAGCTGATCACACACAAGTGCATTCCATTGTGTCTTAGAAAATTCCCTAACTTTTTAGGGAAAATCCGAACCAGATAGGGCCTACACACACACATATATATATAGTAACATATGTGTGTGATTATAGTCAACATATGAACGAGTTATCTAGGTGGATCATAAAGCAATCCATTCAAAGTAGTGTAATTGTTATAATTGTGATCAATGCACTTTATTTATTCAAGTGTGTAAACTTAATATATGAACAATAAATACACAATAAATTGCAAATAGTTTGACATAATCGAGCTTCTTTTATACATATTCGTGTCAAAAACCTACAATAAAAAATAAATCTCAAACGTGCCTGTTGTATATGTGTATATAACTTTACTAATTTATTTATTTTATATTGTTCTGATATGTATTGTAACAGTAGCGTAGTAATTTTGAAAGATTTAAAAAAATGTTACTGTACAAGTTAAACTGTTAATTAAAAATGCAATATTTCTAATAAGCTATAATGGATTTCCCAGTGTTATTATTTTAAAAAAAATCATTATTTTATCATGCAACATATTTTGCTGGCGCGTCAAACAATGTATTTTTCTAGACTCGTCATAAATCTATGTTATAAAGTCTGTCAATGAATTCTCCTTTGCCGACCTGTCACAAATGTATTCCCCGTGACTCACAACTACAGCAGACGACCAAACCAGCCACCAGTTTTTGTCAGCGTTTACACGCCAAAGCCTGTGTCGCTGAGGTGAATGCAGTCAACCGTAAAAATGGTGTTGGCGGCACCTGCGACATTCTATGGGTTGACCGCCTTGATGATCAAATAATCAGTTCAACGCAAGAGAGGGTGTTATTTTATAGAGGGTGTTATTTTATAGAGGGTGTTATTTTATAGAGGGTGTTATTTTATAGAGGGTGTTATTTTATAGAGGGTGTTTTTTTTATAGAGGCTATTATTTTATAGAGGCTGTTATTTTATAGAGGGTGTTATTTTATAGAGGGTGTTATTTTATCAACGCCAAACAACGCTAGCTGGTGGCTAGATGTTGAGCCATGTCCATAGTGGCACAGCATGGGTAGACCACGACTGGTACGTGTCGTATAACAAGTAGCTTGTGATATATCCCCCCCTCCATCATTGAACGGGTCCGCCCACATAACTGGTCCATAAAGTGCAGTGTGCACCTGCCCAGGTAGACGTGTTATCGCTGGGTCCTTGGGCTCATTGATTGCTCCAACACGACAGTTGCCTGTGTTCTCTACGACTGGATATGTTGTCACACGCTTGGTTTATTTATACATGGATCTGTTCACGTGAGCAACAAACACACATACATTTTTATTTATAGGCTAGAGCTAGTTAGGGACTAGGGTCTAAGGGTAGAACGATGAAATACTTGGAGCCACTATGACTTCTTTGCACACACGTATTTTACCGTTATCTCTACAGTAATTTATTTTTGTTATTATTTAACATGCATTTTATTATTCTGTTACACTAAATGCTCAAACTAGTGTTGGCCAATGGTATCATTTTTTAAGTCCGGTGTAGGCCCTATAGCCCTATAGTATAATGTTTTCTTCTTTCTTACGGTTCAGCTTTTGTTACATTTCCTGCTTAAACCTAGATTTTTGCCGACAAGCATTACAACGTATCTCTAGTGTACAGTAGCATGACTTACAGTTTGTTACTTCTTACTATATTGTTAACTTTTTGACTTTCAACACACGAAGCTTTCCCCCAAATTGTTTACACCAGACCAAGCGAGACAACTCAGTTCTTTGTCCCCGTTAAACTCGGCAGAGTTACACATCCTGTTCTTTATCTACAAGTGGATCAGCCACAGAAGTGGTTACACTGTCAACAAACGCGTGGCGCCGACAGATGGGTGGGGCCTGGATAGGTTGTTACAGTTGTGTAACACACCGCCGTCTAGCTTGTTACACCATGTCTTGTGTTTGTTATGTTTCTATTGTGTGTGTTCGTTGTTTTTTCAATACTTGGATTTGTATTTGTTCCAGTGATGAAATAATTAAAAGTTAGTAGGCCATTTTCATTTGTTTAGGTCTGTGAAAATACATGTTATAATAAATAATATTCGTTATTGTAAGATCAAGTAATAAAGAATGCAACATCATAAAAAGAACTGGGTGTAAATTTAAGCATGATCAAATTTGGACTGTCCAAAAATTTGGACTGTCCAAAAATTTGGTCGAGTTTTGCAACGATCCCTGGTTGAACACAATGACCCCCGACCCCCCCCCCCCCCCCCCCCCAACTCAACAAAAAGCCTATGGTCGACGTTCTTAACATTTTTTTTTACTTTTCCAAAGATCGTTACACAAACGTGTTGTACAGGTTCTGTACTCACTCCATTCTATATCTATGTACATGTTGTACCTATTGAAGATAGCCACACAACCACATGGTGCCACACAACCACATGATGCCACACAACTACATGGTGCCACACAACCACATGGTGCCACACAACCACATAGTGCCACACAACCACATGGTGCCACATAACCACATGGTGCCACACAACCACATAGTGCCACACAACCACATGGTGCCACATAACCACATGGTGCCACACAACCACATGGTGCCACACAACCACATAGTGCCACACAACCACATGGTGCCACATAACCACATGGTGCCACACAACAACATAGTGCCAGACAACCACATGGTGCCACACAACCACATGGTGCCACACAACCACATAGTGCCACACAGCCACATGGTGCCACATAACCACATGGTGCCACACAACCACAAATAATTTTTCAGTAAATGATTGAATACAATGTTATTATTTCAGAAATGCTGACCAAACGCCAACAAGATCCATTGTACAAATGTGCAGGTTCTGTTTTCTATATACGTTATCATTGATCTGAAACATTGAGTTTAACTTACACAACTAGCTAAACGAAATATCGTGAGGGAAATGTAAGGAAGATAGAAACCTAAAAAACCTATCAACCAAGAACCTATCAGCCAAAATAGAAATCTACAAAACCTATCAACCAAGATAGAAACCTACAAAACCTATCAACTAAGATAGAGAGCTACAAAACCTATCAACCAAGATAGAAACCTACAAAACCTATCAACCAAGATAGAAACCTACAAAACATTAACCAAGATAGAAACCTACAAAACTTGTCAACCAAGATAGACACCTACAAAACCTATCAACCAAGATAGAGAGCTACAAAACATATCAACAAAGATAGAGAGCTACAAAACCTATCAACCAAGATAGAGAGCTACAAAACGTGTCACAACTAAGTCTTGTGTGCCCACAAAAATGAATGACTCAGCGGAAATGTTGGTGTTGACTGAGCGCCTCTACCAGCTAGAGAAATTACTCAACGCAACACTCAAGGCTTCACACAGTCAAGCTGATCCTATTGGTGAGTCACTGGGTCTGATCCTATTGGTGAGTCACTGGGGTCTGATCCTATTGGTGAGTCACTGGGGTCTGATCCTATTGGTGAGTCACTGGGGTCTGATCCTATTGGTGAGTCACTGGGGTCTGATCCTATTGGTGAGTCACTGGGGTCTGATCCTATTGGTGTCACTGGGGTCTGATCCTATTGGTGAGTCACTGGGGTCTGATCCTATTGGTGAGTCACTGGGGTCTGATCCTATCAGATGTAGATTACAAAGCGAAAACTTTTATATATATATATATATATATATATATATATATATATATATATATATATATATATTGTGACGTAACTAAAAGTTCGTTATGCAAATGTCATGATGCCATGGATTTAGTTCGTTATTTATTGTTATACCACACACATTTAAGGATTGTTAAGATTGTTTTAAATTGTTCAGAGAAAAACAGTCAATGCGTCTTCATTAGATATAATAGGCAATGTTGACCAGTCACCCATGACGTGTTAACCAGTCACCCATGACCCATTGACCAGTCACCCATGACGTATTGACCAGTCACCCATGACCCATTAACCAGTCACCCATGACCCATTGACCAGTCACCCATGACGTGTTAACCAGTCACCCATGACCCATTGACCAGTCAGCCATGACCCATTGACCAGTCAGCCATGACGTATGTACCATATTCCAGCACCTGCCGCCCTCGCCCTGTCCGTCTGCTGTCTCCTGACCCTGGCTGTTCTAATCTACCTGTTCTGGCACCACAGACGACAGGTGAAATCACACCTAGAGCCACGTGACCAAACAGATCACTATGGTGATGCTAAAACTAAAAGTAAGCATTGATTTTTCTGAATGGGTCTTCACAATGGTAGTGCCCCCGCCACTGTTTTTAAATTCTACTTTTGTGGAAACCTGCAGGCTTATACGAAAACAATCTGTAGAGAAATTCTTGTACTTGGCTATATCATTAATCTACATAACATCTCTAACTAAATACTCATCGGTAAATCTTCATCTTATAACAGAGAAAATGTTTTAAAAATAGATCCCATCATTTTAATTCTATAGAAAATAAAGTAAAAATTCCAAACAAAACATCTAACATCAAATATCTAACATTGAAACATCTAACATCAAATTTCTAAAATTTAAACATCTAACATCAAATCTCTATCATTGAAACATCTAACATCAAATCTCTAACATTGAAACATCTAACATCAAATCTCTAAAATTTAAACATCTAACATCAAATCTCTAACATTGAAATATCTAACATCAAATCTCTATCATTGAAACATCTAACATCAAATCTCTAACATTGAAACATCTAACATCAAATCTCTAACATTGAAATATCTAACATCAAATCTCTAAAATTTAAACATCTAACAGCAACTGTCTAATATTGAAACTTCCAACATCAAATCTCTAACATTGAAACATCTAACATCAAAATCTCTAACATTGAAACATCTAACATCAAAATCTCTATCATTGAAACATCTAACATCAAATGTCTAACGTTGAAACATCTTACAGAAGAAGCAGCTAGGCCTGAGGTTGACCTACAAGAGTTGATGGCTCAAATCAACGAGAACAAAACTTGCTGTCTGGACAAAGGGAAACTTATAACAGGTGAGAGCTGTATTAGAGCACCTGTATATCACCTGTTACATCTTACAGATCCTACCATGTGTCACCAATCTTACCATGTCTCACCAATCTCACCATATCTCACCACTCTTCAAGTGTGTAACCACTCCTACAATGTCTCACCATGTCTCACCACTCCTACCATGTGTCACCAATCTTACCATGTCTCACCAATCTCACCATATCTCACCACTCTTCAAGTGTGTAACCACGCCTACAATGTCTCACCATGTCTTACCACTCCTACCATGTGTCACCAATCTAATCATGTCTCACCAAACTCACCATATCTCACCACTCTTACAGTGTGTAACCACTCCTACAATGTCTCACCACTCCTACCATGTGTCACCAGTCCTACAGAGAAAGACGGCTGAGCTTCAGATCCAGCTTGACGACATGGGGACGAGACTAAGTGAGACGAGGGCAGCCAGCGTTGGCTGTACACAAGACGTTGTCAACCTGAGGGCCCAGCTCAGTGCTGTAGAGGAGAGACTTGCTAAAGAGAAAAGACAGGCCAGTCACAGTAAGACATCTCATTTATAAGACAGGCCAGTTACAGTAAGACATCTCATTTATAAGACAGGCCAGTTACAGTAAGACATCTCATTTATAAGACAGGCTAGTTACAGTAAGACATCTCATGTTTTGTGTGTACATTCTTGGTATAATTGATTGTGTGTAAGTGTGTAAGATCTCGCATGTTTTGTGTACAGGCAACTCACCAGCCACATCGAGTGCTGCTAAACCCAACCCTTTGGCCAACGCTAAGTTTCTTGAAGAAATTAGAAATTATAGATCAAGGATCGTCACGTTAGAGAAAAATGAAAAAGGTATTTTAAAAGATTACTCTTTTCAGATTGTAGGCCTGCACTTTTATACTGTATTATTTTTATATCTGCTCAACGGATAGTTAAAAAAAGCAAAATATATGTTAATCTGAAGGAATTAGTAACACTGTACAATACATTTGCAACTGCCAGAATTGAGGTCAAAGGTTGAGAAATTAGAGCAACAGCTTCATCAAATGTTGAGAGAAGACAATGGTGTAGCAGTTCATGAAGAAATTCCCGTCACAGAGAGCAGAGAACAAACGTCTCAAAACTCAGTTTTTGGTGAGTCTAGTGACTGTGTTCTTTAGTGAGTCTAGTGAATGTGTTTTTGGTGAGTCTAGTGAATGTGTTTTTGGTGAGTCTATTGAATGTGTTCTTTAGTGAGTCTAGTGAATGTGTTCTTTAGTGAGTCTAGTGAATGTGTTCTTTAGTGAGTCTAGTGAATGTGTTCTTTAGTGAGTCTAGTGAATGTGTTCTTTAGTGAGTCTAGTGAATGTGTTTTTTAGTGAGTCTAGTGAATGTATTTAGTGAGTCTAGTGAATGTGTTCTTTAGTGAGTCTAGTGAATGTGTTCTTTAGTGAATCTAGTGAATGTGTTCTTTAGTGAGTCTAGTGAATGTGTTCTTTAGTGAGTCTAGTGAATGTGTTCTTTAGTGAGTCTAGTGACTATGTTCTTTAGTGAGTCTAGTGAATGTGTTCTTTAGTGAGTCTAGTGACTATGTTCTTTAGTGAGTCTAGTGAATGTGTTCTTTAGTGAGTCTAGTGATTGTGTTTAGTGAGTCTAGTGAATGTGTTCTTTAGTGAGTCTAGTGAATGTGTTCTTTAGTGAGTCTAGTGAATGTGTTTAATGAGTCTAGTGAATGTGTTCTTTAGTGAGTCTAGTGAATGTATTTAGTGAGTCTAGTGAATGTGTTTAGTGAGTCTAGTGAATGTGTTCTTTAGTGAGTCTAGTGAATGTGTTTTTTAGTGAGTCTAGTGAATGTGTTCTTTAGTGAGTCTAGTGAATGTGTTCTTTAGTGAGTCTAGTGAATGTGTTCTTTAGTGAATCTAGTGAATGTGTTCTTTAGTGAGTCTAGTGAATGTGTTCTTTAGTGAGTCTAGTGAATGTGTTCTTTAGTGAGTCTAGTGACTATGTTCTTTAGTGAGTCTAGTGAATGTGTTCTTTAGTGAGTCTAGTGACTATGTTCTTAAGTGAGTCTAGTGAATGTGTTCTTTAGTGAGTCTAGTGAATTTGTTCTTTAGTGAGTCTAGTGAATGTGTTCTTTAGTGAGTCTAGTGATTGTGTTTAGTGAGTCTAGTGAATGTGTTCTTTAGTGAGTCTAGTGAATGTGTTCTTTAGTGAGTCTAGTGAATGTGTTTAGTGAGTCTAGTGAATGTGTTCTTTAGTGAGTCTAGTGAATGTATTTAGTGAGTCTAGTGAATGTGTTTAGTGAGTCTAGTGAATGTGTTCTTTAGTGAGTCTAGTGAATGTGTTTTTAGTGAGTCTAGTGAATGTGTTTTTTGGTGAGTCTAGTGAATGTGTTCTTTAGTGAGTCTAGTGAATGTGTTCTTTAGTGAGTCTAGTGAGAGTATTCTTTAGTGAGTCTAGTGAATGTATTTTTAGTGAGTCTAGTGAATGTGTTTTTTAGTGAGTCTAGTGAATGTGTTTTTTAGTGAGTCTAGTGAATGTGTTCTTTAGTGAGTCTAGTGACTATGTTCTTAAGTGAGTCTAGTGAATGTGTTCTTTAGTGAGTCTAGTGAATGTGTTCTTTAGTGTGTCTAGTGAATGTGTTCTTTAGTGAGTCTAGTGAATGAGTTCTTTAGTGAGTCTAGTGAATGTGTTTTTTAGTGAGTCTAGTGAATGTGTTTAGTGAGTCTAGTGACTATGTTTTTTAGTGAGTCTAGTGAATGTGTTCTTTTGTGAGTCTACTGAATGTTTTAATGCGTTCTTTTGTGAATCTATTGAATGTGTTCTTTAGTGAATCTAGTGAATATGTTTTTTGGTAAATCTAGTGAATATGTTCTTTGGTGAGTCTAGCTATGTTACTTGTTCCAATTTTTTCCATTACAAAGCTTGTTAAACTAGTAAATACTGATATATTTTGCAATGTTTGTATTTTATAGCAAAGCCAACGCTTAGAATAAAAAAAAGCTTTTTTTTTTAATTTTCAGATTCCAGTCTATCATTTGGACCCGGCGATCTTGCTAATTCTAGTTTTTCATCCACTGGGCTTAGTTCTATAAATAGCTTTAGCGAGACACTAGCGAGAAGTGAGACAAGAGACGAGACCGAACGCCAGCCTCTACTCCAATTGTCTGGGGCGACTAGCGGTTCTCATAGTGTTGTCTGAAGTGGGCCTGTAGGAACATTAGAAGGAACTGTCTGATGTGGGCCTGTAGGAACATTGGAAGGAACTGTCTGACGTGGGCCTGTAGGAACATTAGAAGGAACTGTCTGGTGTGGGCCTGTAGGAACATTAGAAGGAACTGTCTGATGTGGGCCTGTAGGAACATTAGAAGGAACTGTCTGATGTGGGCCTGTAGGAACATTAGAAGGAACTGTCTGATGTGGGCCTGTAGGAACATTAGAAGGAACTGTCTGGTGTGGGCCTGTAGGAACATTAGAAGGAACTGTCTGGTGTGGGCCTGTAGGAACATTAGAAGGAACTGTCTGAAGTGGGCCTGTAGGAACATTAGAAGGAACTGTCTGACGTGGGCCTGTAGGAACATTAGAAGGAACTGTCTGGTGTGGGCCTGTAGGAACATTAGAAGGAACTGTCTGATGTGGGCCTGTAGGAACATTAGAAGGAACTGTCTGATGTGGGCCTGTAGGAACATTGGAACTGTCTGGTGTGGGCCTGTAGGAACATTAGAAGGAACTGTCTGGTGTGGGCCTGTAGGAACATTGGAACTGTCTGGTGTGGGCCTGTAGGAACATTAGAAGGAACTGTCTGATGTGGGCCTGTAGGAACATTGGAACTGTCTGGTGTGGGCCTGTATGAACATTGGAACTGTCTGGTGTGGGCCTGTAGGAACATTGGAACTGTCTGGTGTGGGCCTGTATGAACATTGGAACTGTCTGGTGTGGGCCTGTAGGAACATTGGAACTGTCTGGTGTGGGCCTGTATGAACATTGGAACTGTCTGGTGTGGGCCTGTAGGAACATTAGAAGGAACTGTCTGATGTGGTCCTGTAGGAACATTAGAAGGAACTGTCTGACGTGGGCCTGTAGGAACATTAGAAGGAACTGTCTGATGTGGGCCTGTAGGAACATTAGAAGGAACTGTCTGATGTGGGCCTGTAGGAACATTAGAAGGAACTGTCTGATGTGGGCCTGTAGGAACATTAGAAGGAACTGTCTGATGTGGGCCTGTAGGAACATTAGAAGGAACTGTCTGAAGTGGGCCTGTAGGAACATTAGAAGGAACTGTCTGAAGTGGGCCTGTAGGAACATTAGAAGGAACTGTCTGAAGTGGGCCTGTAGGAACATTAGAAGGAACTGTCTGATGTGGGCCTGTAGGAACATTAGAAGGAACTGTCTGATGTGGGCCTGTAGGAACATTAGAAGGAACTGTCTGATGTGGGCCTGTAGGAACATTAGAAGGAACTGTCTGGTGTGGGCCTGTAGGAACATTGGAACTGTCTGATGTGGGCCTGTAGGAACATTAGAAGGAACTGTCTGATGTGGGCCTGTAGGAACATTAGAAGGAACTGTCTGAAGTGGGCCTGTAGGAACATTAGAAGGAACTGTCTGAAGTGGGCCTGTAGGAACATTAGAAGGAACTGTCTGATGTGGGCCTGTAGGAACATTAGAAGGAACTGTCTGATGTGGGCCTGTAGGAACATTAGAAGGAACTGTCTGAAGTGGGCCTGTAGGAACATTAGAAGGAATTGTCTGATGTGGGCCTGTAGGAACATTAGAAGGAACTGTCTGATGTGGGCCTGTAGGAACATTAGAAGGAACTGTCTGGTGTGGGCCTGTATGAACATTGGAAGGAACTGTCTGATGTGGGCCTGTAGGAACATTAGAAGGAACTGTCTGATGTGGGCCTGTAGGAACATTAGAAGGAACTGTCTGATGTGGGCCTGTAGGAACATTAGAAGGAACTGTCTGGTGTGGGCCTGTATGAACATTGGAAGGAACTGTCTGATGTGGGCCTGTAGGAACATTAGAAGGAACTGTCTGATGTGGGCCTGTATGAACATTGGAACTGTCTGGTGTGGGCCTGTATGAACATTAGAAGGAACTGTCTGGTGTGGGCGTGTAGGAACATTAGAAGGAACTGTCTGATGTGGGCCTGTAGGAACATTAGAAGGAACTGTCTGACGTGGGCCTGTAGGAACATTAGAAGGAACTGTCTGATGTGGGCCTGTAGGAACATTAGAAGGAACTGTCTGGTGTGGGCCTGTAGGAACATTGGAACTGTCTGAAGTGGGCCTGTAGGAACATTAGAAGGAACTGTCTGATGTGGGCCTGTAGGAACATTAGAAGGAACTGTCTGATGTGGGCCTGTAGGAACATTAGAAGGAACTGTCTGATGTGGGCCTGTAGGAACATTAGAAGGAACTGTCTGGTGTGGGCCTGTAGGAACATTGGAACTGTCTGAAGTGGGCCTGTAGGAACATTAGAAGGAACTGTCTGATGTGGGCCTGTAGGAACATTAGAAGGAACTGTCTGATGTGGGCCTGTAGGAACATTAGAAGGAACTGTCTGATGTGGGCCTGTAGGAACATTAGAAGGAACTGTCTGATGTGGGCCTGTAGGAACATTAGAAGGAACTGTCTGATGTGGGCCTGTAGGAACATTAGAAGGAACTGTCTGATGTGGGCCTGTAGGAACATTAGAAGGAACTGTCTGATGTGGGCCTGTAGGAACATTAGAAGGAACTGTCTGATGTGGGCCTGTAGGAACATTAGAAGGAACTGTCTGATGTGGGCCTGTAGGAACATTAGAAGGAACTGTCTGAAGTGGGCCTGTAGGAACATTAGAAGGAACTGTCTGATGTGGGCCTGTAGGAACATTAGAAGGAACTGTCTGATGTGGGCCTGTAGGAACATTAGAAGGAACTGTCTGATGTGGGCCTGTAGGAACATTAGAAGGAACTGTCTGATGTGGGCCTGTAGGAACATTAGAAGGAACTGTCTGATGTTGGCCTGTAGGAACATTAGAAGGAACTGTCTGATGTGGGCCTGTAGGAACATTAGAAGGAACTGTCTGATGTGGGCCTGTAGGAACATTAGAAGGAACTGTCTGATGTGGGCCTGTAGGAACATTAGAAGGAACTGTCTGATGTGGGCCTGTAGGAACATTAGAAGGAACTGTCTGATGTGGGCCTGTAGGAACATTAGAAGGAACTGTCTGGTGTGGGCCTGTAGGAACATTGGAACTGTCTGAAGTGGGCCTGTAGGAACATTAGAAGGAACTGTCTGATGTGGGCCTGTAGGAACATTAGAAGGAACTGTCTGATGTGGGCCTGTAGGAACATTAGAAGGAACTGTCTGATGTGGGCCTGTAGGAACATTAGAAGGAACTGTCTGAAGTGGGCCTGTAGGAACATTAGAAGGAACTGTCTGATGTGGGCCTGTAGGAACATTAGAAGGAACTGTCTGGTGTGGGCCTGTAGGAACATTGGAACTGTCTGATGTGGGCCTGTAGGAACATTAGAAGGAACTGTCTGGTGTGGGCCTGTAGGAACATTAGAAGGAACTGTCTGATGTGGGCCTGTAGGAACATTAGAAGGAACTGTCTGATGTGGGCCTGTAGGAACATTAGAAGGAACTGTCTGATGTGGGCCTGTAGGAACATTAGAAGGAACTGTCTGATGTGGGCCTGTAGGAACATTAGAAGGAACTGTCTGAAGTGGGCCTGTAGGAACATTGGAACTGTCTGATGTGGGCCTGTAGGAACATTAGAAGGAACTGTCTGGTGTGGGCCTGTAGGAACATTGGAACTGTCTGATGTGGGCCTGTAGGAACATTAGAAGGAACTGTCTGAAGTGGGCCTGTAGGAACATTAGAAGGAACTGTCTGGTGTGGGCGTGTAGGAACATTAGAAGGAACTGTCTGATGTGGGCCTGTAGGAACATTAGAAGGAACTGTCTGAAGTGGGCCTGTAGGAACATTAGAAGGAACTGTCTGGTGTGGGCCTGTAGGAACATTAGAAGGAACTGTCTGATGTGGGCCTGTAGGAACATTAGAAGGAACTGTCTGATGTGGGCCTGTAGGAACATTAGAAGGAACTGTCTGATGTGGGCCTGTAGGAACATTAGAAGGAACTGTCTGATGTGGGCCTGTAGGAACATTAGAAGGAACTGTCTGATGTGGGCCTGTAGGAACATTAGAAGGAACTGTCTGATGTGGGCCTGTAGGAACATTAGAAGGAACTGTCTGACGTGGGCCTGTAGGAACATTAGAAGGAACTGTCTGATGTGGGCCTGTAGGAACATTAGAAGGAACTGTCTGATGTGGGCCTGTAGGAACATTAGAAGGAACTGTCTGGTGTGGGCCTGTATGAACATTGGAAGGAACTGTCTGATGTGGGCCTGTAGGAACATTAGAAGGAACTGTCTGATGTGGGCCTGTAGGAACATTAGAAGGAACTGTCTGATGTGGGCCTGTAGGAACATTAGAAGGAACTGTCTGGTGTGGGCCTGTATGAACATTGGAAGGAACTGTCTGATGTGGGCCTGTAGGAACATTAGAAGGAACTGTCTGATGTGGGCCTGTAGGAACATTAGAAGGAACTGTCTGATGTGGGCCTGTATGAACATTGGAACTGTCTGGTGTGGGCCTGTAGGAACATTAGAAGGAACTGTCTGGTGTGGGCGTGTAGGAACATTAGAAGGAACTGTCTGATGTGGGCCTGTAGGAACATTAGAAGGAACTGTCTGACGTGGGCCTGTAGGAACATTAGAAGGAACTGTCTGATGTGGGCCTGTAGGAACATTAGAAGGAACTGTCTGGTGTGGGCCTGTAGGAACATTGGAACTGTCTGAAGTGGGCCTGTAGGAACATTAGAAGGAACTGTCTGATGTGGGCCTGTAGGAACATTAGAAGGAACTGTCTGATGTGGGCCTGTAGGAACATTAGAAGGAACTGTCTGATGTGGGCCTGTAGGAACATTAGAAGGAACTGTCTGGTGTGGGCCTGTAGGAACATTGGAACTGTCTGAAGTGGGCCTGTAGGAACATTAGAAGGAACTGTCTGATGTGGGCCTGTAGGAACATTAGAAGGAACTGTCTGATGTGGGCCTGTAGGAACATTAGAAGGAACTGTCTGATGTGGGCCTGTAGGAACATTAGAAGGAACTGTCTGATGTGGGCCTGTAGGAACATTAGAAGGAACTGTCTGATGTGGGCCTGTAGGAACATTAGAAGGAACTGTCTGATGTGGGCCTGTAGGAACATTAGAAGGAACTGTCTGATGTGGGCCTGTAGGAACATTAGAAGGAACTGTCTGATGTGGGCCTGTAGGAACATTAGAAGGAACTGTCTGATGTGGGCCTGTAGGAACATTAGAAGGAACTGTCTGAAGTGGGCCTGTAGGAACATTAGAAGGAACTGTCTGATGTGGGCCTGTAGGAACATTAGAAGGAACTGTCTGATGTGGGCCTGTAGGAACATTAGAAGGAACTGTCTGATGTGGGCCTGTAGGAACATTAGAAGGAACTGTCTGATGTGGGCCTGTAGGAACATTAGAAGGAACTGTCTGATGTTGGCCTGTAGGAACATTAGAAGGAACTGTCTGATGTGGGCCTGTAGGAACATTAGAAGGAACTGTCTGATGTGGGCCTGTAGGAACATTAGAAGGAACTGTCTGATGTGGGCCTGTAGGAACATTAGAAGGAACTGTCTGATGTGGGCCTGTAGGAACATTAGAAGGAACTGTCTGATGTGGGCCTGTAGGAACATTAGAAGGAACTGTCTGGTGTGGGCCTGTAGGAACATTGGAACTGTCTGAAGTGGGCCTGTAGGAACATTAGAAGGAACTGTCTGATGTGGGCCTGTAGGAACATTAGAAGGAACTGTCTGATGTGGGCCTGTAGGAACATTAGAAGGAACTGTCTGATGTGGGCCTGTAGGAACATTAGAAGGAACTGTCTGAAGTGGGCCTGTAGGAACATTAGAAGGAACTGTCTGATGTGGGCCTGTAGGAACATTAGAAGGAACTGTCTGGTGTGGGCCTGTAGGAACATTGGAACTGTCTGATGTGGGCCTGTAGGAACATTAGAAGGAACTGTCTGGTGTGGGCCTGTAGGAACATTAGAAGGAACTGTCTGATGTGGGCCTGTAGGAACATTAGAAGGAACTGTCTGATGTGGGCCTGTAGGAACATTAGAAGGAACTGTCTGATGTGGGCCTGTAGGAACATTAGAAGGAACTGTCTGATGTGGGCCTGTAGGAACATTAGAAGGAACTGTCTGAAGTGGGCCTGTAGGAACATTAGAAGGAACTGTCTGATGTGGGCCTGTAGGAACATTGGAACTGTCTGATGTGGGCCTGTAGGAACATTAGAAGGAACTGTCTGGTGTGGGCCTGTAGGAACATTGGAACTGTCTGATGTGGGCCTGTAGGAACATTAGAAGGAACTGTCTGAAGTGGGCCTGTAGGAACATTAGAAGGAACTGTCTGGTGTGGGCGTGTAGGAACATTAGAAGGAACTGTCTGATGTGGGCCTGTAGGAACATTAGAAGGAACTGTCTGAAGTGGGCCTGTAGGAACATTAGAAGGAACTGTCTGGTGTGGGCCTGTAGGAACATTAGAAGGAACTGTCTGATGTGGGCCTGTAGGAACATTAGAAGGAACTGTCTGATGTGGGCCTGTAGGAACATTAGAAGGAACTGTCTGATGTGGGCCTGTAGGAACATTAGAAGGAACTGTCTGATGTGGGCCTGTAGGAACATTAGAAGGAACTGTCTGATGTGGGCCTGTAGGAACATTAGAAGGAACTGTCTGATGTGGGCCTGTAGGAACATTAGAAGGAACTGTCTGACGTGGGCCTGTAGGAACATTAGAAGGAACTGTCTGATGTGGGCCTGTAGGAACATTAGAAGGAACTGTCTGACGTGGGCCTGTAGGAACATTAGAAGGAACTGTCTGATGTGGGCCTGTAGGAACATTAGAAGGAACTGTCTGATGTGGGCCTGTAGGAACATTAGAAGGAACTGTCTGACGTGGGCCTGTAGGAACATTAGAAGGAACTGTCTGATGTGGGCCTGTAGGAACATTAGAAGGAACTGTCTGACGTGGGCCTGTAGGAACATTAGAAGGAACTGTCTGATGTGGGCCTGTAGGAACATTAGAAGGAACTGTCTGGTGTGGGCCTGTAGGAACATTAGAAGGAACTGTCTGGTGGCACCGGTGTCGTATTCTGGTTCCGTGTCTAGAAACCATTTGAAGAGCAACGTATCCCGTGGACATCTCTCTCAAGTTTTACATCAACTGGTTAGCTGATTGGATAACACTAAGTGTGACAAATGGGAGATTAAGGGCCTGCACTAAGTGTGACAAATGGGAGATTAAGGGCCTAAACTAAGTGTGACAAATGGGAGATTAAGGGCCTAAACTAAGTGTGACAAATGGGAGATCAAGGGCCTAAACTAAGTGTGACAAATGTGAGATCAAGGGCCTGCACTAAGTGTGACAAATGGGAGATTAAGGGCCTAAACTAAGTGTGACAAATGGGAGATCAAAGGCCTAAAATAAGTGTGACAAATGGGAGATTAAGGGCCTAAACTAAGTGTGACAAATGGGAGATTAAGGGCCTGCACTAAGTGTGACAAATGGGAGATTAAGGGCCTAAACTAAGTGTGACAAATGTGAGATCAAGGGCCTGCACTAAGTGTGACAAATGGGAGATTAAGGGCCTGCACTAAGTGTGACAAATGGGAGATTAAGGGCCTGCACTAAGTGTGACAAATGGGAGATTAAGGGCCTAAACTAAGTGTGACAAATGGGAGATTAAGGGCCTGCACTAAGTGTGACAAATGGGAGATTAAGGGCCTAAACTAAGTGTGACAAATGGGAGATTAAGGGCCTGCACTAAGTGTGACAAATGGGAGATTAAGGGCCTAAACTAAGTGTGACAAATGGGAGATTAAGGGCCTAAACTAAGTGTAAAGGGCTAATTGGAAGGTGCTAATGTCCTGCTCTTGAAGGGCTAATTGACAATCTGGTCCTTTGTGGTTGTAGTCGCTTCATTGCTCCTTGTCACATACACATAGTCTAAAGTAAAATTGTGTTTTCGACAGCCTATGATTCTAGGACATTTATTACTCTCTGCAATGCTTTGATTGAAAATAAGAATTTTTTTTTTGTAAGCATGATTACAAACGAAGTTATTTATCAAATATTTATTGTGCATACATTTTTCCACGATTGTATATAAATAACATGTTATACGTAAAAAATATTGAAATAATATGTTTTAAAAAAATAAATATTTGTCTTTACCTGGAACAAGATAAACAGTCGAACTGAAAGTGTGTCACAACCTCGCTCTGTTTGGTACATTTAAAATAATGGTCTCTGCTTTACCCTTTTGCCGCGGTCACTGAAATAGGTGAACTCTACTTCACCTGCCACCATCGTGTTTGAATGTGTACTTTCCTTTGTACTTTGTACTCTACATCAACAGCTGTACAATTCAAGCTCTCCTGGAGGTATAGCTTGTCTTAGTGACCCGGTTAATCGTACAGTAAGCAGATACGTTGTAACCATGTTAAGTGATTAGAATATTGTTCTGAGTACAACCATTTTCAGCTAGATCTAATATATAAAGTTCAATGCTGTATTTGGCAGATGGACGGAGGGGCGGACGGACATGTGGTAACAAAGGAATGTAGCAAAAAAACTCGACTTGATCGCTATAATGTAATAAATCTAAAGGGCTCATTATCTTAATTAATTATTTAAAAAGTTAACGTCGTAGGTTTTATAAAACAAATTTCATTTTCCAAACTTAAAGTGTTAATTGACGGCACGTGGATTAAAAAAATAAAGTAAATGTATCAACCTTCGCAAAAATTATAATTCTGTCTGAAAATTACATTCTTTAGCCGTTTAGCAATAATTACTTCCCTTGATAAATTACAAAAACAATCAATTCCCTTTAAAAACATTACATCGCGGGAAATAATTCCTTTTGTTATTTTGTTTTGGTTTTGTTGGGAAAAAATAATTACATAATTAGCATGGATTGATAAAAGTGTAATGTGGTATGTAAAACAGGGATATTTTAAATGCTGCTTTTTTATTTTATACACTGAACGTACTGTTTACTAAATATTATGTGTAATCAATAACTGTTTGGATTCACTCTTAAATATCCACTACGTTTATTTGTATCTTTCCGTTTGCGGGTAAGCTTGGGGTATTATATAGTCGTTCACTAAATTGAATCAGGCGCGACCGCCGGCCCCCTGGCAGGGTTCGATTTGATGCTCTGGGCTATCCTGTGAGCGCTATGGTGCATAATTTCGTTTTTGAAAGGTGCGATAAGCTGTGGGTAAAAAGGAAAAAATGTGAACCCCCCCCCCTCAAAGACGACCCAGGCTACGCTTCTGCATGAGATATAAACACTAATTTTACTAAATGACAATTTAATTACGTATTTACATATAACAACTGAAGTAATCAATGAGAAATCAATATGTAATAAATGTACAATTTTTCGTTATCAGTATATACAAATCGTGTATCAACTAACAGTCCCGAGTGTCTGCTGTAAAAAAACAAACTTGAACTTGATAAAATGAACGATCACAGTGGTGTCTTCAAACAACACTTTAGGTTTGTTCGTTTGTTTCCCCAATAGCAACATCGTCTGCTCGCAGCTCGTGTAGCAGCAGACCGGAGTCTTCTGCTGTCTGCTGGTCTGGTTTGGTCGTTTGGCTGGTCTTCTGACCCAGTCTGGGTATGGAGTTGTTGGACGACTTGAGTCCAGCTAGAGACAACAGAATAAATGTGTAACTCTTCAATATTATTCTACTAGAGGTTAGCACTGCTGTGCCAACAGATGTTGGAAGTGATGGTTATAGAGTTCCTACCTAGGTCCGGTCTTGTTTCCTTGATTTCTTTTTTCAACTGCTTAAACTTCCCAACAGTTTGATTAAACCCATTCCAAAGTTTATCGAATTCACTGTTGCGTTTCCCTGAAAGAAAAGAAAATGATTTAGGCATATCGATATAGAGAAACACTCTAGGTGGGGATTTATGCTTTAATGTAAATAGAATCCGTGAGTTACCCACTAAGCTAAAAGTATTTAACAAAAGTTATATTCAAGCGATATTACTACAGGTGTTCTAATTAGTTGTACTCAACTGATTACAATTAACGTGTTTAAAAATCGTTACATTAAAGTGATTTAAATAAAAGTGTTTTAAATTGGGAATTTTAAGCAGGTAACTATAAAATGTTTCAAATAATTATATACAATTACCCTGGCTGCCATTGTGTTTAAGTTTCTCAAAAATATCCGTTTCTTTTTTCTCCCAGTTGTAAATACGGTCTTGCAAGCTTTCCATGGCTAGTTCTAAATCTCGATCTGTTGTCAAAACATGGATAAATAAATAACTTAAAGAACAACTTCGTACTAACAACTTTTATTTAGTACTTTGAAGAAATTTGGCTTGAAACTGTATAATAAATTGTACATATATAGTTACGGTGCCCCACGGACATACTAAGTTTGATTATACCCATCATTTTGTTGGAGAGAGATCTGTGTGGTTATCTTTCCTTGCCATCTTTTGTTGGAACTATGTGCTCATTTTGTTAAAAATAGGAAATGAGCTTATTTCCTCTACGGGTTGTCGAGGAAATATGCTTATGTCATCACTTGTACTATAGGAAATCATCACGTTGCTTGTTTCCTAACCGTAAGCCGAAATAAGCCTTTTGTTGTAGTAGAGAGATATGCTGCTATAATTACCTGCAGTTGTTCCCCATTTAGATTGTAGACCAGCGTAAAGATTACTTATGTCCATTGACTCCCGGGTTAACTGTATCAGGATGACACCGATGTTGTCTGGAAAAGATTGAACATTTAGCGCTTTGTAAAAATTGACATTTTAAATAATGAGTGGTGATCTGCAAACAGAACTCGCTTTCAATGGTAAACAGCTTTGTATAAAAAAAGTTTTGAATAAAACACAGTAAAAGTTTGTTAGATCACATGCCACACAGTAAAAGTTTGTTAGATCACATATCACACAGTAAAAGTTTGTTAGATCACATGCCACAGTAAAAGTTTGTTAGATCACATATCACACAGTAAAAGTTTGTTAGATCACATATCACACAGTAAAAGTTTGTTAGATCACATGCCACAGTAAAAGTTTGTTAGATCACATATCACACAGTAAAAGTTTGTTAGATCACATGCCACAGTAAAAGTTTGTTAGATCACATATCACACAGTAAAAGTTTGTTAGATCACATGCCACAGTAAAAGTTTGTTAGATCACATGCCACAGTAAAAGTTTGTTAGATCACATATCACACAGTAAAAGTTTGTTAGATCACATGCCACAGTAAAAGTTTGTTAGATCACATGCCACAGTAAAAGTTTGTTAGATCACATGCCACAGTAAAAGTTTGTTAGATCACATATCACACAGTAAAAGTTTGTTAGATCACATATCACACAGTAAAAGTTTGTTAGATCACATGCCACAGTAAAAGTTTGTTAGATCACATGCCACAGTAAAAGTTTGTTAGATCACATGCCACAGTAAAAGTTTGTTAGATCACATGCCACAGTAAAAGTTTGTTAGATCACATATCACACAGTAAAAGTTTGTTAGATCACATGCCACAGTAAAAGTTTGTTAGATCACATATCACACAGTAAAAGTTTGTTAGATCACATATCACACAGTAAAAGTTTGTTAGATCACATGCCACAGTAAAAGTTTGTTAGATCACATATCACACAGTAAAAGTTTGTTAGATCACATGCCACAGTAAAAGTTTGTTAGATCACATGCCACAGTAAAAGTTTGTTAGATCACATATCACACAGTAAAAGTTTGTTAGATCACATGCCACAGTAAAAGTTTGTTAGATCACATGCCACAGTAAAAGTTTGTTAGATCACATGCCACAGTAAAAGTTTGTTAGATCACATATCACACAGTAAAAGTTTGTTAGATCACATATCACACAGTAAAAGTTTGTTAGATCACATGCCACAGTAAAAGTTTGTTAGATCACATGCCACAGTAAAAGTTTGTTAGATCACATGCCACAGTAAAAGTTTGTTAGATCACATGCCACAGTAAAAGTTTGTTAGATCACATATCACACAGTAAAAGTTTGTTAGATCACATGCCACAGTAAAAGTTTGTTAGATCACATATCACACAGTAAAAGTTTGTTAGATCACATATCACACAGTAAAAGTTTGTTAGATCACATGCCACAGTAAAAGTTTGTTAGATCACATATCACACAGTAAAAGTTTGTTAGATCACATGCCACAGTAAAAGTTTGTTAGATCACATGCCACAGTAAAAGTTTGTTAGATCACATATCACACAGTAAAAGTTTGTTAGATCACATATCACACAGTAAAAGTTTGTTAGATCACATGCCACAGTAAAAGTTTGTTAGATCACATATCACACAGTAAAAGTTTGTTAGATCACATGCCACAGTAAAAGTTTGTTAGATCACATATCACACAGTAAAAGTTTGTTAGATCACATGCCACAGTAAAAGTTTGTTAGATCACATATCACACAGTAAAAGTTTGTTAGATCACATGCCACAGTAAAAGTTTGTTAGATCACATATCACACAGTAAAAGTTTGTTAGATCACATGCCACAGTTAAGTATTTGTGCTTACCATCAGACAGATCATTCTCTTCAGTCGGTTCAGATCGGGTTTTCTGATGCTTTAAAGTCGTAGAACCGTTATACCTTTCTATTTCTGGTGAAACTGTAGATAGTCAAAGATATTCAATTTAAAATAAACCTGTTGTTGCAGCGTCAAGTATAAAATACGTGCTTGTTCTTCTCTAACGGAAATCATGTCAGACACAAATATGAAGTGTAAATACAAGTTGAACGTAAAGGGCAACTTTCGACTGTTAGCTTCCTCAAGGATTGAAGTCAAGTCGGATATTGTCTCAACGTATTCAAAAAAATTCTATCACAGATAAACGATAACTATTAATCCAAATATTGTACAGGAAACAATATTAGTGAATGAGGCAGAGACTATCCGTCAAGATCCTCAGCAACTTACTTGTGAGAGAGAGGTCGTGCTTTACATCAGATCTGTTTACGTGGCTGGTCGGTTGTTTGGGCTCCATAGCCAGTGGTTCTGGAGATGAAATTTTAAAACTTATCATTTGATGTCTAGACCATTAACGTTCAGCGTTTGTCATTATTCTCACAAAAATATTCCTGGGGTGGGGTGGGGGGGGGAGATGCCTGAAAGAAATGTGTTATGACAACCATAATTTCCCATTAAAATAATAAGAAAAATTAACCGAACACACTGTAACAAGACTTCCTAATTGGTGACCTACCATAGCGCCAACTGTGACGATGTTCTTGTGTCTGGTCAACCTGCTGGTCGTCTTCTTGCCTACTTTTGGTCAGTTGACGTTTCAGTCTGTCGTTTTCTACATTTAGATTTCGCACTTCTAACTTTAATGCTAGTATTTCTCGATGACGATTTTCCGCTTCGTGTTGTAAATCCTCAATTTGTTTATTACCGTCATCTTTTTCTTGTTGCAAACGGTTTATTTGTTCACGATAATCGATTATCTGTTGACGACTGTCATCCACTTCACGTTTTAAGCCATCCCTTTCAGTTTGTAAGGCATTTAGCAAATCTGTGATAAACAATGTCATTCAGCAAATCTATGATAAGTAATGTTATTTTTTAGTTGGATTACTAAAATCAAGAGGGAAGGGGTGGGGGTGGGACAGACATGATACAATTTAAGATGATATATATATATATATATATATATATATATATATATATATATATATATATATATATATATATATATATATATGTGTGTGTGTGTGTGTGTGTAATTCAGTAGTGAGTTATAGCGTTGGGTGTCATCTTACCCACCCCTGGACGCTATATAGTACAAAGTGCATGATGCAACAGAATTCTGGTCTTCTATAAATGTCCCCGGTTACGTCATCTTAATTTTAAATCTTTACGTTTGATCAACACAGTATGAAATTACAATCCATTTATGATCTCATATATACACCCCTGATAATAACCTGATGCTACACCCCTGGTAATTTTACCTTGATTTATTTCATTATCTTGAACTCCATGGTTGGCATGCTGACCTTCAATAAAAGGTTGTTCTTCTGGATGGTTGGCTGCGCCATTTGCATTCTCTCCTGCTGATACATAAAATTTTCTAAAATTTCTTTTAAAATGTCTCGAAAGACGTTGCGTCGCATCTAACGAATCACAAAATCGAATGCATGAAAATATAAAGTCGTATTTTTACCATTGTTCGCTCGGCCAAATCTTTGTTGTATTTTAGTTTTAGTCACATTCCAATATTTTCGAAGCCCAGGATGGATGCATGTAATTCCAACAATCAAAAGGATTATCAGAGTGACGATGACTATCAACAATGTGCCATCTGTAAACAATTAATATTTCATTTAAATATTCAAATTAAATCAATTATTTTCTCACTAAGACTTGGCGAAATAAGAATTTAATGTTGAGATCAAACGTAAAGGCTTACATATTTTATTTTAAAATGTTCATTCAGTTAATAAATATGTATGTTTAATATCATAAACTAGTAGGTTGTAGGTAGGTGTAATCATCTGCTATCGATATTATAGTTAAAATGACTCACGGTTGTTGCTAGGACACTCGATGGATGCATCAAATCTTGCGCACCCTGTGTTCTCACGGAGGGAACCTGTAAAATAGACAGCTATCAGCTGACTTCACTGGCAGTGTTGTCGTGTCGTTGTTTAGTCTAATCACGTTTCGAGTTTTAAATTGCAGTTAAAAACATATTGCCGAGAAAATCGCAGTTCTATGAAATTTTTAGACCCCAAAAATTACAATATAAATCTCATGTTAACATCGGTCCTCTAGTTATTTAAATCCCATGTTAACCTCGGCTATCTAGTTATTTAAAGCTCATGTAAAGAAAACAACCCAAGTATTGAAATGGATGATCAGGGGTTTAGGAAGCAACATTGAGTTGATAAAGGAAATTAAACGTCACTTACCATCAGTGGTAGTCACCACGTTCATTGTGTGATTGTTTTGTTCAGCATTAGAGGGCCATTCTAGACTTTTGTTAGCTCGACAATCTGCAGAAATCGAATATATTAAAATGTTTCTATTCATTAAGCGATGTAATAATTAAAATATAATTTAGTTTAAATTTTACAAGAACACATCAAGTGCTTATTCGCTTATTCATTATGGCGACGTTTTGATAAATTGCCCCCTCCACCCCCCCACCCCCCCCCCCCCCCCCCCACACACACACCCTTACTGCTATGCCAAAAAGAAACTTATTTTTCAGAATTAAGTTATGGCTGGCTGATGTGTTAAACAAGTTCATAGAGAGACGACAAGCCCATGGACTTACTGGAACCGTGAGTACACAGACGGCACGGGGAGAAGTGGGTCAAGCACGCTACAACCCCGCACTGCTCAGCTCTCATGTGGAACACCGGATTTGTTCCGTTCTCCAGCAAGTTCCGGCACCCGTCCAGCAGAACATCTTCAGGGCTCGCAGCTGCCTTGGTGGCAGAACTCAGAGCCGCTGCAGCATCGCCCATAGGGCAGACACAAGACAGGCCGGTCACCTGGACATTTGATTTTGGTCAGGTCAGTCATCTAACGACGGTCCTGCTGAGACATAACATGACATTTGATTTTAGTCAGGTCAGCTAACGACGGTCCTGCTGATTTAGTCAGGTCAGCTAATGACGGCCCTGCTGATTTAGTCAGGTCAGCTAATGACGGCCCTGCTGATTTAGTCAGGTCAGCTAACGACGGTCCTGCTGATTTAGTCAGGTCAGCTAATGACGGCCCTGCTGATTTAGTCAGGTCAGCTAATGACGGTCCTGCTGATTTAGTCAGGTCAGCTAATGACGGCCCTGCTGATTTAGTCAGGTCAGCTAACGACGGTCCTGCTGAGACACAACATGACATTTGATTTTAGTCAGGTCAGCTAACGACGGTCCTGCTGATTTAGTCAGGTCAGCTAACGACGGTCCTGCTGAGACACAACATGACTTTTGATTTTAGTCAGGTCAGCTAACGACGGTCCTGCTGATTTAGTCAGGTCATCTAATGACGGTCCTGCTGATTTAGTCAGGTCAGCTAATGATGGTCCTGCTGATTTAGTCAGGTCATCTAATGACGGTCCTGCTGATTTAGTCAGGTCAGCTAACGACGGTCAGGCTAAAACACGTCATATTTATTAACAAAAACCTTCTCTTAGAATTTCAAAAATTTTGAATTAACGATTTAAATCAGTGTTCATCACATCAGTGTTCATCACATCAGTGTTCAATACATTTTTAAAAATAAGGGGTCTTCCATCAATGACCTAACACCCCATCAATGACCCCCCCCCTCCACATCCATCTCCATTACATTCACCTCTCCACCCGCCACCCCCTCCCCAATGTTAGTTTTGAAATTTGCCTCATGAATTGCTCTCTAAAATACAGGCTGAGATGGACAACGTCAGGTATGTTCATACATTTTTGTAACAACCAGTCTCTAGAAACCCCGTACATCAGACGTTAACAAACTCACCTGATAATGTGAGGGACGTACATCAGACGTTAACAAACTCACCTGATAATGTGAGAGACGTACATCAGACGTTAACAAACTCACCTGATAATGTGAGGGACGTACATCAGATGTTAACAAACTCACCTGATAATGTGAGAGACGTACATCAGACGTTAACAAACTCACCTGATAATGTGAGGGACGTACATCAGACGTTAACAAACTCACCTGATAATGTGAGAGACGTACATCAGACGTTAACAAACTCACCTGATAATGTGAGGGACGTACATCAGACGTTAACAAACTCACCTGATAATGTGAGGGACGTACATCAGACGTTAACAAACTCACCTGATAATGTGAGAGACGTACATCAGACGTTAACAAACTCACCTGATAATGTGAGGGACGTACATCAGACGTTAACAAACTCACCTGATAATGTGAGAGACGTACATCAGACGTTAACAAACTCACCTGATAATGTGAGGGACGTACATCAGATGTTAACAAACTCACCTGATAATGTGAGAGACGTACATCAGACGTTAACAAACTCACCTGATAATGTGAGGGACGTACATCAGACGTTAACAAACTCACCTGATAATGTGAGAGACGTACATCAGACGTTAACAAACTCACCTGATAATGTGAGGGACGTACATCAGACGTTAACAAACTCACCTGATAATGTGAGGGACGTACATCAGACGTTAACAAACTCACCTGATAATGTGAGGGACGTACATCAGACGTTAACAAACTCACCTGATAATGTTAGGGACGTACATCAGACGTTAACAAACTCACCTGATAATGTGAGGGACATACATCAGACGTTAACAAACTCACCTGATAATGTGAGAGACGTACATCAGACGTTAACAAACTCACCTGATAATGTGAGGGACATACATCAGACGTTAACAAACTCACCTGATAATGTGAAGGACGTACATCAGACGTTAAAAAACTCACCTGATAATGTGAGGGACGTACATCAGACGTTAACAAACTCGCCTGATAATGTGAGGGACGTACATCAGACGTTAATAAACTCGCCTGATAATGTGTGGGACGTACATCAGACGTTAACAAACTCACCTGATAATGTGAGGGACGTACATCAGACGTTAACAAACTCACCTGATAATGTGAAGGACGTACATCAGTCGTTAACAAACTCACCTGATAATGTGAGGGACGTACATCAGACGTTAACAAACTCACCTGATAATGTGAGGAACGTACATCAGACGTTAACAAACTCACCTGATAATGTGAAGGACGTACATTTCTCTGTGCATAACATCAGGAAGGCGTAGACCCAAATATAAAACATGTTTCTCTCATGTCGATACTCACTGAAGATTACAACAAGTTAGATAAACTATGCTCGCGGATTGTGTATTTTACTTTTTACACAGCAAAAATATTATTATTTGTATCGTTTCTACGATTCGTGTCGACCTTTAATCCCATAAAAATTTACAGTTTAAGATTTTACAGTAAATCGAATGTGTACAATCTTACATCATCAATAACGGGTAACATCGTTTATGTCTTTGAATTTTACTAAAAATAGAACTTTTTAAAGATCGGGAAATTCCGTTATAATATATGATTAAATACTAATATTTCGCCCGTTAAGGTAAAAATACAAACGATGTTAGGCTAATTTTTTTTAATATGTTCTGATACCACAGGCATCATTGTATTTAGAACAGTTGTTTGTATAGAACTTTGCGCCCGGCTGACATTTACACAAAATAACTTTTTTCATCCAAGACGTGATGACGTCATAGGAAAACTAAACTAGAACGACCGATACAAAGGTTTACACATTGTTTAGAGTTATATATAACGGTAACTCTTTTTAATTAAGAAATATTTCAATATTTGTATGTTTTTCGGTGTTCTACTTCTAGTTTTTGGGCCTACACGTTTTTAAATATACGCTTTAAATGTTATTAACACTTTATTAAAGGATCATTAAATGTGTGACAGAAAACCTCATTATAGATTATAATTAATAAAGAGTAAACAAAATATCTTTTTTATGGACAGAATGGACACATACTGAATAGTCTCTAAAGGTTCTTGACATTTTTTAAATCGGGTGCGATGTTATTAAATTAAACGTGGTTATTACAACAACTAGATATTTTTTTTTTGTTTAACTTTACTAAATACTGGATGTATTTGATGTTTTATTTATTTTAGGTAACTTAACAAAAATTTAAAAAAAAATGTCCTGCCATTATGACGGCCAAATGTCAACAATAACGATCGAACCTATCTCGTCCAACTCGTGTGTGTCCATTGGAATGTAAAGTTGACAAACTGAAGTTTCTAATGGAAGTGAATAAAAGACATGTAATTATCTTGCCTATTTGTATTGATTGAAACCAAGTAGAACAAAAAGGTAAGTAATAATAATATTTTCTTACCACTTGTTAAAAACGAACTTTTTGAAATTTACACTGTACAGGTAGTTCTGTATCTGTTAAGAACGTAAACACTCTCTACTTAAAACGTTTTTTGAAGGCTTATGTAAGAATCTTATTTTATCCCTAACTATACACGTCATGTCGTGAAAGGCTTAAGTAGGACATTTTTATCAGGTCATATTGGGAAATCCCGTTGATTATTTTTATTCAACTTTGAGAAAAAAAAATACTATCGAGAAATATGTAGTCTATTAATATGCACATAATTAAGGTGTGGTCCATAAATAAATAAAAATATTTAAAAACTTGTATATAAACAAGTTTTCATATAGATCTATGTATTAACAAGAAGAAAATGAAATGATTATCTTTAAACATAATACTGCAACACTTTTTACATACCTATAAAAATATATATCGCTAATTGTGTTGGCTCATCTTTTAATATAATAAAATACATATAATCCCCTAATACTGCTCAAAGTGAAGAGTACTAATATTTATTTGCAACTAAATAGGTGTAGCTTTTTAAACATTTTATGAGGAACTCTCGTCTACATTTAGAGTTAGACAAGTAATGGTATATTTTTATGTTTAAACATTTTATTTTATTCTTTTCAGTTCATATATAAAAGATTTACATTTTTAACTTTTTTTTTCTTAAAAGCTTTTATTTAGTTTACAAAGTATGTTTGTTTGTTTGTGGGATGTGGCAAATTGTGTAACTCAATTTTATCCCATTTCTAATGCAACGATTTCGTTCTAATTTTCCAGATACCTTCCTCTATGATGACGATTCAAGAATTAAATCTGATTAAAAATTAGCTTCGGTTGTTAAACTCTATTCCAAAGATTACTAAATTAATAAAAAATGATCAAAAGGGAGACATCACATAAATTCTAGCAATCGCTCGCTTGGTCTACGACTTTCAACTTACTCGCGTAAATTTGGTCTCGAAATTAACTAGTCGTACTACTGCGTTTGATAAAATACAAAAGTGACGTCAATCCCAAATGATTTGTTTATGTTATGACGTATGCTAGAATTTATACTTTAGGGTTACTGAGTTCTCAGCTTATGTCAACACACACTTACCCCGCGACAGAAAAATCAAGTGTTGCATTGAAGACTTATAGCTAATTGTAACCCATAATCCCAGAGGAGCTAAAAGCGTGTCTCACAATATTATAAATGTATACATGTTCAACTAGTACATAGTTTTTAAGAACTATTAAAGAAATATGTTTATTGTAAATTTTATTTTTAAATGCTCATTAATTTCACATTTAGCTAATCCAGTTAATATAATATCAAATGTTAAAAACTTAACCAATTTACATATTTCTATAGATTTAATACTTGTGGAAATATGTTCGTGAATTTCTTTTTACTTTCTCGTATATACGAAGTATAGAGAAAGTCTTGTAATCGTGCAAAAAAAAAAATCGAGATTTTTACAAATCTCGACGTTTTACACCTCACTGATACGGAAAAACATAATTTTTCAATCTTGTCCGCATGTCTGTGTGTCCGTGTGTCTGTCTGTCTGTCTGTTTTTCTGTGTGTAAACACGATAACTTGAGTACCGTTACAGCTAGGTTGATGAAATTTCATATATAAGTATTTTATCAAAATCGTAGATCCGTTTCAACTTTTGAGCGATTTCCGATAACCGGAAGTGGTACTTTTTCTACTTTGAATTTTTCAAAAGCCTATAACTTGAGTACTATTTCAGATAGATAAATGAAATTTCACATGTAAGTAAAAAATCTAGTTCTCTACCTTCTGTCAAAGTTTGAGTAATTTCCGTTGACCGGAAGTACTAATTTACGCTATTTCCGATTGCTCAAAAAACGCATGTAAATTTATAAAGTACCAATAATATTGCGCACTATTATGAACATCTTTATTTGGCGTTCGCTTGGTGTGCAATTCTTTTTTCTATGAGATTCTATTCTATTTTTAAAAGTTTAAGTATTTAAAATGGATTAAAAATCATAACTATATCCCGAGTACCCATACCCTGTTGTTTTATATAAGAATATTCGAGAAAGTTTAGGGGAGATCACTCCCGGTTTATTTATGTTTACGTCCATAAGTGATAATTTTATTATGTTTTTTTATTATGCTATTTTTATGGCCTGCTGTTAGTTTTATTTCGGTTTTGCAGGTTAAGTATTTTGTGTTTAATAGTTTATCTATGGCATGTTTCAAGTGTTTTTGGAAAGTATTGTATCACAAAGCACACGTTTTAAATTTAAACTCCGATATTTCTGATACAGATATCTTACAATTCTTTTTTTGTATTTAATTAAATCAAATAAAATTATTTGGAATGTAAGGCAAGCGTTTAAACGGAGAGAATTTTTTGAATTTTGGTCTAGCTCGTTGAGCGGACGTACAGAAGTGTTTTGTTCTCAACTGACAGTTTGATCTAGATCCAGATTTACCCTGCAGGTTTATGAGATGGTCGTTGAATCCATCTAGGGATACCTGGCTCTGAGTCGCTAGTCTGTATGGAGTTTGGCTTGCATGAAACAAGTTTTGAAAAAATAAAACGCTTCTTTATCACAGTACTCTTACAAAGTCAGTCAACTAATTCTAACAAGTTTTAAAAGAAAGAATTTAAGCACACATGTAATAAATGGTAGATTAGTGTTAAGCAAGTGACTTCAGCAGACAGTACGTGAAAGTAATGGATTGTTACAGTTATATTACGTCATCGTCTGTATAACCTAGTAACACCATAGCAGGCCAGTGCGCATGTATGTAAGTCATGCGGAAACATAGCTCGTGATGAATGCCACAAGATTTAAAGTACATTCCCGAACATTCCACTTTTGAAATTACCAGCTAAAATGACTTTTTCTTTACTCTGCAAAAATGGAAGACTGGGTCAAACAACCCCCATTAAGGATAATGTCACCGTGACATCGGACAGACATTTCGTTTTGCCGCTGGTTTTATGCCAAGTTTTTTCACTGATGTCTTAAAAACATTTTTATTCACTTAACAAATGCAAACATCCGATAACACAAGGTGAACACATGTTTAGCCCTAGTTTTATATGTTAGAGTACACTAATTTCCCGTCACCGTAAAGTGTCTAGTTTTATATGTCATCTTATAATTTCTAGATTTATATATCACTTTACAATGTCTAGTTTTATATGTCACTTTATAATGACTAGATCTATATGTCACCTTATAATGTCTAGTTTTATGTCACCTTATAATAAATAGTTTTATGTCACATTATAATTTTTAGTTTTATATGTCATCATATAATGTTTAGTTTTATATGTCGTCTTATAATGTCTAGTTTTATATGTCACTGTATAATGTCTAGTTTTATATTTCACCTTAGAATGTTTAGTTTTATATGTCACCTTATAATGTCTAATAGTTTATGTCAGTCTAGTCTTATATGTCATCTTATAATGTCTAGTTTTATATGTCATCTTATAATGTTTAGTTTTATATGCCACCTTATAATTCTAATATTTTATGTCATCTTATAATGTCTAGTCTTATATGTTATATTATAATGTCTAGTTTCATATGTCACCGTATAATGTCTAGTTTTATATTTCACCTTATAATGTCTAGTTTTTATGACACCTTATAATGTCTAGTTTTATATGTCACCTTATAATGTCTAATTTAATGTTTCACCTTGTAATTTCTAGTTTTATATGTCACCTTATAATGTCTAGTTTCAGATGTCCCTTTATAGAACTAACTTTGAGCACTAACCCTAGGACAGCTTAAAGTACATAATGTTATTCTGACTTTACATGAACCATACAAAAATTGCTGAAAACTAATTCGTTTAAATTCTTAAATTGACTAAGTGTAAAGTTAGACAACCCATTTTGATAATTTAGTTTTGTGAGTTACAGTCCTTGATTCGGACCACGTTTAATTTGATGCTTTATTTTATACGTCTTTTGGGAAATAAGAATATTTTAATAATTTATAATAAATAGCTAAGACAAATACTTAATATGATAATATGTTTATAATCTTGTAATAAAATTTTAAACATATTAAAAAACTGGAGACGTTGTATTATAAAACAGTTGTTATTATTTTATTAAACTGGCATGATTAAAATTTAAGATCTTATATTCCGGGTGTTGTAGAAACATCACTATCCGAAGGATAAAATGTTCCCCACCCACATAGAAACTACGAGCTTCCACATATAATTATGTTCAATTATAGACGATTAAAAATGTATCACCCTAAAAGTAATGTTTTTTAAATAACATCATCTGATCTTAATTAAACCTTTCTATGTAAAGCCAGAGACCGATTCGTATCATGGATGCTTCCCCCCTCATTTATCCACCTCTACCCCCACACCTATCCCCCACCCCCAGCTAATTTTTTTGGAAAGCTGAAAACAACTTTTACAATGCGATAAAAAGTTTGGCTCTTCCCTCTGTCGTTGTAAGACCTGGATGATTTGAAAATGTTTACAACAGTAAAAAAAAAACAACTATTTAGTGATCTGATTCACGGACGGCGGGGCCGGATGGTAGAGCGTAAGAATGCTAAACGTTTCGGGTACGGTGGGGTCGGATGGTAGAGCGTAAGAATGCTAAACGTTTCGGGTACGGTGGGGTCGGATGGTAGAGCGTAAGAATGCTAAACGTTTCGGGTACGGTGAGGTCGGATGGTAGAGCGTAAGAATGCTAAACGTTTCGGGTACGGTGAGGCCGGATGGTAGAGCGTAAGAATGCTAAACGTTTCGGGTACGGTGGGGTCGGATGGTAGAGCGTAAGAATGCTAAACGTTTCGGGTACGGTGGGGTCGGATGGTAGAGCGTAAGAATGCTAAACGTTTCGGGTACGGTGAGGTCGGATGGTAGAGCGTAAGAATGCTAAACGTTTCGGGTACGGTGGGGTCGGATGGTAGAGCGTAAGAATGCTAAACGTTTCGGGTACGGTGAGGTCGGATGGTAGAGCGTAAGAATGCTAAACGTTTCGGGTTCGGTTATCGGACTCGTGTTCGTTGGACGGTCCCTGAGTCCACCCAGCTCTAATGGGTACCCGGCTCACGTTAGGTAAGGCAAATGAGCATAGTGCTAAAAATATTTTTTCATACGCCGAGGTCACCGAAACAGGTGAACTCTACTTCACC